CAGTTTAGCTCTTTGAAGACTTTTTTATTAAATAAAAATTTTATCTCATCTGTTGCTCCACCAGATTTATTGTTTTAATACTTGTGCGCTAAAGATGATTTAAATCCAGATGTACCTGCAGCATTAAGACCATTCATCAGTTTTACAGAGACTGATCACATCAGAACGCTTTTTCTGTGGTCATCAATTTACTGTGACAACTGGATTTATTTGTAGTCAGACTCAGGAGCTAAGATGCAAGTGGTGTTTGTTTAGGTGGGAAAAGAGCTTCTTAATGAAATCCTCTCTATAAAAATGTGCATATAAGATAAATATACATTTTAGAGAGGTTTCAGAGGAGGTTGGAGGTGAAGAGGTATGAGGTTTGTGATGAACAGTGGACTAGAGGCCATTTCCTCCAAATAACAACACAAGTTTCTCCATTTTCCATCAATGTTCAGTTATTTTTATAACAAATTGCAACATTTTAAAATTTAAAAATAGGCTGAAATATTTAGATATTCTGCTACAGGACAGAAAATGTGAATGTTAAATAACCAAATAACACATGATACATTTGATGTTATAGATGAGTTTTTGTCCACAATAAGAAAGAAAAGTAATTTTAGAAACTTATCTTTTTCCCCTCATAAAATATTTTAAGAGAATAAAATATGCCCAGGATTTGAATGTGAAAAAAGTGTGTTTTTGTTAGAATTAGGATTTCATCAGCGGGTTGCAACTTAAATGTTGTAGACTACCCTTGATAAAGTGTAGTCCTTTGGTCAAATTCAATTCAGTTCAATTCAAAAATACTTTATTAATCCCAGAGGGAAATTGATTGCTGTAGTAGCTCAGAAGAATAATAATAATCAAGTCATCAAAGAGTTGTTGTATATTACAATGGCTGTTGGCAGGAAGGATCTCCAGTAGCGGTCAGTGTTGCAGCGAAACTGAAGAAGCCTCTGACTGAAGACAGTCTTCCGTTGTCGGACAGTCTTGTGAAGAGAATGCTCAGGGTTGTCCATAATTTTCTTGATTCTCTGGAGAATCCTTCTTTGCATGATCTCCTCCAGTGGTTCCACAGTCGTCCCCAGAACAGAACCAGCCTTTTTTATTAGGCTGTTGAGCCTTTTCAGGTCCCTGCTTCTGATGCTGCTACCCCAACAGACGATGGATGAAGAGATTACACTCTCAACAACAGACTTGTAGAAGATCTGCAGCATCTTGCTACAGACATTGAAGGACCTAAGCGTCCTCAAGAAGTGCAGTCTGCTGTGACCCTTCATGTAAACGGCTTCGCTGTTCTTTCTCCTTGCAGTCCAGTCTGTTGTCCAGGTGAACTCCAAGGTATTTGTATTCCTCAACCACCTCCACATCTTCTCCCATGATGGAAACAGTGTTTGACTCCACCCTGTTTCTTCTGAAGTCTAAAATCATCTCCTTTGTTTTGTTCATGTTCAAGGTCAGATGATTGTTTCCACACCATGCCACAAAGCGCTCCACTAGCTCTCTGTACTCAGCTTCCTGTCCATCTCTGATACACCCGACAACTGCAGAGTCATCTGAGTATTTCTGTAGATGACAGGTCTCTGATTTGTACTGGAAGTCTGAGGTGTACAGGGTGAAAAAGAATGGTGAGAGTACAGTCCCCTGTGGTGCTCCAATGTTACTGATCGCCTGGTTTGACGTGCAGTTCTTCAGCCTCACAAACTGTGGTCTGTTTGTCAGGTAGTCTTTAATCCAGGTGATAGCTGAGGCCCCCACCTGTGTCTTCTGGAGTTTCTGGCAAAGTACATTAGGCTGGATTGTGTTAAATGCACTGGAGAAATCAAGGAACATGACCCTCACAGTGCTGCCTGCTTTGTCCAGATGACAGTGGATTGGTTGAAGCAGCTGGATGATGGCATCTTCAACTCCAACTCCATGGCGATAAGCAAACTGCAGTGGGTCCTGATATGTCCTAGTTTGCTTATTCAGGTGGACCAACAGGAGTCTCTCCAGGACCTTCATGATGTGGGATGTCAGGTCAACTGCTCTGTAGTCGTCATTGACTGATGGGTGAGTTTTCTTTGGAACTGGAACAAGGCAGGATGTCTTCCACAGGACTGGAACCTTCTCCTGGGCCAGGCTGAGGTTAAAGAGGTGCTGCAGAATCCCACAGAGCTGCTCTGCACAGGCCTTCAGTATTCTGGGGCTGACACCATCTGGACCTGCAGCCTTGATCCTGTTCAGTCTCTCCAGCTGCCTCTTCACCTGACTTCTAGAGACAAATAGGTGGGAGGGGGAGGTAAATGGGGCAGCAGCATCTCCTGACTTGGTTGAAGACAGATTTATAGAACCAGAAGAGTCCATGACTGTGTTAGAGAACAAAAGAGCTGGCATGTGACAGGAAAATGTTGGATCAGAGGAGGATGGGATGTCTGATTGGCTGGGGACAGGCGAGGAGGATGCTGGGTTTGTTCCTGAACTGAACCTATTGAAGAACTTGTTCAGTTCATTGGCTGTGTCCAGGCTGCCATCTGTGCAATCCTTCCTCTGCTTGAAGCCTGCGATCTTCTTCATCCCTGACCAGACATCTCTGATATTGTTCCTCTATAGTTTGTTCTCCAGCTTCTTCCTGTATGCCTCCTTGCTGTCTCTGATCTTGATCTTCATTTGCTTCTGTATACTCCTAAATAATTCCCTGTCTCCCTCCTTGAAGGCTCTTTTTTTCTCATTTAGCAGATTCTTCAGTTCACTGGTGATCCAGGGTTTGTTATTAGCCAAGCATCTCACTGTTCTGGTGGGTATGATGTTGTCCACACATAAGTTTATATAGTCAGTGACACATCCAGTCATAGCATTGATGTTCTCTTCATGTCCTTGGCAGAGAGTCATCCAATCTGTGGTTTCAAAGCCACCCTGCAGGGCCTTTTCAGTGACCATTTTCTCACAGTTCTTCTTGTCACAGGTTGCCTCTGAACAAGTGGTTTGTATTCTGAGCAGAGAAAAACAAGATTGTGATCGGATTGTCCCAGAGGAGGTCTGGTTTTGGACATTTGCATAACAAAAATCCAATGTCTTGTTATCTCTGGTGGAGCAGCTGACAAACTGATGAAAAGTTGGAAGTGTAGTAGAGAGCGAGGCATGATTAAAATCACCAGATATAGCCACAAATGCATTGGGGTGCTGGGTTTGTAGCTTTGCGACAATGGAACTGATGGCATCACATGCATTTTCAGCAATGGGTGAAGGTGGAATATAAACGGTTGCCAAGACAACACTGGTGAACTCTCTTGGCAAATAATATGGGCGACAACTTACTGCCAAGAGTTCAACATTTGGGCTGCAGAGACATTTCACTGAAACATGACATGGATGGCACCATCTGTTGTTGACATGCACTGCCACTCCACCTCCTTTTCTTTTCCCGCTCCTCTTCAGATCTCTGTCTGCTCGTACAGTCAGGAATCCTGGCAGAGAGAAGCTGGAATCGGGGATATGGTCCTGCAGCCACGTCTTCACAGCACCAGAAACAGAAAAATGGATACATGAATTTGCACAGAATGAATTTACTGAAATGAATCTTTTTAAATTGGTTTTAACTTTGCATTTATTCATGTTTCCACCTCTAACCAAATGGGGACAGAGACTTCTCACAGTGGGACAACGTGAAATTCCAATGCAACATTAAAGTTCTAACATCACTGTTAAGTATACATAAAATCTTAATCATGTTTCACGTAGCCTACTTGAATTACACTTGAACAAGAAAACAGCAAAAGCTTCAAGACTGTTTCACAGATCCTCTCAAGTTAAGTTAAACTTACAGTAATTCAGCCTCTTTGGACCTTCTACAGTGGCTCTGAACTACTTTAGATAAAAGTATTTTAAAACTAATTTTATAAACAGATAGGCCCACAATAAAAAATGATGCAGGTTTTAGCAGCTTTTCAGAGTTTTGATTGAATATTTTCCACAACAAAATGTGTCATGTTTATGGGAAGATGTTTTACCCAAGACATGAAAGAATCACACTATGGAGATGGGGTAAGTAAAAATAATATAACAATTTTTATTAAGAATGGTGAGTAAACTAAAGGTGCTGCTCAAACGGGAACAGGGTGAACCGGAATATAAAACGAGAAGCAGACAGATATAAGATAAACCCAGAACCAAGAACATGATTAGTTTTTGGAGGGTATTCTTACGGTTGATGACCAGGAATGGTGAGAATGGACTGGGTCTTTGAGACCAGGTGGGAGCGGACGAATGGCAGGAGTTCAGATCCAGGACAAGACTGGGAAGCAGGTTGGGAGGCAGACTGTGAGGCTAGCTGAGAGGCAGGCAGGACAACAGGCGGACGGTGGAGAGCGGAGGTCAGGGGATCTTGAGCGACAGGACAGTGGTAGACAACTGCAGGTGACGGTAGGTTCGTTCTGAGGACAAATGAGCAGGAACTTTCAGGACTCTACAACAGACAGGTCAAGACTGAGACTGGAACAGGCAGACAATCACGTGGCGTCATCACGTGGCCAAAAGCTAGAACTGTTCAAATGAACTATTAGAACATTTAGCCTTCTCATTCCAGTTGTTGAAAAACATTTTTTTAATTATTATAAAGTAGTAATAGTCACTTTGTAGATACACTTTTCTGTATATTATTTGAAGATTAAAAGGCTATGATATGGCGACTGAATGGGAAACGCAATGGGTCAATTCTATGAATTTTTGATTTTTACAAGGGGGCGGTAGAGACCATCGCTCGGCTGAAGAGATTACGTAAGCGTCGATTGTCGAGTCATGGATCGCTGATGTTTTAACATCACACATTTAGGGGCATGACTCAGCAAAAATCATTGGAGGAATGGCAAAATACAAAAACGTAGATCCATGGCACACAGATTTGGCTTACTTGGTTCTGAGTAAACCCAGTCTGGCTCCATTACAAGACGGCGATTCCAGTTAGAGCTGTAGCTAACCGGCGCGCGAGCGTGTCAGAGCCGATTAGCATCTGCTTCACAAAGGTAAGAAGAAACCCCAGCAACCTGGTACTTTATTCGAGCTAACTGAAGGTTTAATGCCCTCCGAGCTTAATTTAATTAATTTTTATTATTTGTTTGGTTTACACGGTCGTTTCGCTACATAATTTCACAGCTATTTGTAGCAAAATGAGTCAAGTAGTGTTGCTTAAAAGCTTGCCTCGCATTCTTGTGTTTTGATCCCAACAGCCAGACTTTCATGACTTTACTCTTTTTTTTTCTTCAGGTAACTTTCAGGTCCTGTTAATCTGTCCCGAAATCGTTTTTAAAAGATCTCATACTTTTTCTGTGTTAGCGTAAACTGCTCAGCAATAAGAAAATACTGAACAGAAACCATTAAGTCCCAAAAATAATCTCTAACAGACATTTTTAAAAGTTGTGGGACAGTATGAAAGAACTAGAGGAATTTCCTTGACAATCTGTTGATGCTAACCCTCTACACACTGACTAGTTGTCTCCCAGCTGCAGCCATGGCCATCAACAGCTACTGTGAGGTGAACACCCCCATCTCTCACACCTGGCTGGATGGAGGCATCTCCCCCTGCTTCTACTTCACCCTGGTCCCCACCGTCCTCCTCAGCATTGCCTTCCTCCTTGGCACCATTCACTACATATTCTACCAGAAATATGGCACGGCAATGGAGCCCAAATTCATCCCTCGCTCCTGCCTCTATGGATTCCAGCTGGTCCTCTCCGTCCTCCTGCTGCTTCTGTCCATCGGTGGGATGGTGTGGCAGGCTGCTAGTGCCTCAGAGCTCCCAGGATATGTGGTGTTGTACGGGTGCTTTTCCACATTTGCCTGGGCCTGGGCTGTGGTCCTGCTGAGGGTGGAGAGGCGGAGGGTCCTGGTGATGGACCGGACAACGGGACACAGCACCGTCCTGCTGGTCTTCTGGGCCCTGGCTTTCTCATCTGAGAATCTAGCCTTCATCTCTTGGTTCAGTCCTCACTGGTGGTGGGGACTGGAGAACAACCAGCAGCAGGTCAGGAAAACACACATTTGGGGATAAAATTAAGAACTTAACTGAAGAATTTTTGTTTTTCCTTACCTGTTGTGTGATGATGTGCAAGCATCACCCAGTAAACACACAACTACACTACAATGCCTTCACTCTCCCTACGCTCGTGTTTTATTGTTCTGTTTTTTTATGAGTTTTAGTATTTGTATGCCGCTTTTGACAGAAAGAATCACAAAGTGCTTCACACCACAAAATATTAACGCAGACAACAGCATAAAGGAAGCTTTGTTAGGAAAAAAATCAATAAATCATAAAACCTAACGTAAGAGCAATAAAACATGTACCTACAAAGCATCAGAACATAAAAATCATGCTACACAAACAATAAAATCAATAAAAACAACAGAGTGAAATAAAAGGCCTGAGTAAAGAGATGTTTTCAGCTGCTTCAAAAACAAAATACGATGTCATGTTCAGTTCCTTGTGCTTCCGTAAAGGCTGTAGAAGGAGCTTTACAAATAACGTTTGATTTATTTACAATCCGTGTCTTTTGAACCACTCCCTTCTGAGTTATGACCCCCGACTTGAAATCTAAAGACTTGAGAAACTCGCTAAACAAGGAGACTTTTTGCTGAGTCATGCTTTCAGAACCTAACTAGCTTCTCCCATGCTGAGTCACAGACAGCAGCTTCATGTTGGTGCAGAACAGTAAGCATGACTTGGTGTTTTTGTCTTTCTTTTGACAACAGTGGTCGTTAACGAGCAAGTCACCCCCTACCAGATTCTTAGGCCTAGTCCACACGTAGCCGGGTTTTTTTTTTTAAACGAATATCCGCCCCTCCAAAAACTTGCATCCACACCACCTCGTTTTAAAAATAAACTGTCCACACGTACCCGGATAAATACGTTGTTAAGGACATGCCAGACCTGTAGGCGGCAGTACTTCCCCCGTTCTTAACCTCGTCCTTCGTCTGTGGTCTTCCGCAAGGAGCAGTAATTCCGCTCGCAAAAACAAACAAGCAAAAAGCGCTTGGACAATTGATAAAGCGAGCGCAGCTCTGAGGGCATCCATGCTGTCGGCTAGTGTAAACACAGGTCGCACACGTGATGTCAGCATTTATTTTGTCGCGGAAAGTGACGCTGCGGACCCTAAAACTCCGGTTTTGTCTGTCCACACGCAGACACCCAAAACGGAGAAAACACAGATCTTCACTTTGGCCGGAGTTTTTAAGAAGATCCGTTTTCGTGTGAAAAAGCTCCGTTTTTGTGTGGACGACAGGCCAAAACGTAGAGAAATATCTACGTTTTGGCAGATCCCCGGCTACGTGTGGACAGGGCCTGACTCAACTCCCACTTCCTGTTTGAAAAATGCAACAAATGCTGTTGCCTAGCAGAACAAGAGGGCGGAGCCGCTAACAAATAGGCACACATACACAGGCTCACAACGACATTGTGACATCATATGGTACCAGCTAATGTTCTACGGTACCTCTTAGCTAATAGCGATGGCAGATTTTAAATTCAAATGCAGTGCAGAGTTTTTACCTGACAACGGCACAACACTGACAGTTTTAGGCAGAAAATTAAAATTTTTACCAAAATGCACTAAAGTGCAAAACTTGACTACACGTTAGACACACATTTATGTAGTTTATCAGGGAAAAAAAGTTGATTTGGGGGAGACTTGCTCTTTAAACTCTAAAATCCTTGTTTAAGGTGATGTAACAAGGTTGTGATGAAGCACAGAGTGAAACTGTTTACTGTTAAATTTATGAACATTAAATTACGCCCGTCTTCATGTTGATCTGCTGCTAACTGTTACAAACCCCTCAGGTCCAGTTTGCCCTGTGGCTGATGCGTTACATCAGCACCGGGCTTCTCTTCTTCATCGGCCTCAACGCGCCTGGCTTGCCTCGGAAACCTTACATGCTCCTGATCAACGAAGACGAGCGGGACGTGGAAAACGTGAGTGTTGCTGTTTGTTGTCATGTTCGTTTAAGCTCTCAGAAGCGGTTCTGGACCAACGTCTCGGTTTAACTTGTGGCAGAACTTGTTGGGGAGAACGGAGGAGAACCAGTCCACCTGGCAGGGGTTCAGGAAGAAGGTCCGCCTGCTCGTTCCCTACATGTGGCCACGTGGGAACATCGTTCTCCAGCTTCTGGTGCTCTTCTGTTTGGGACTGCTGGGAGCGGAGAGGGCTATTAATGTCTTTGTGCCCATCTACTACAAAAACATTGGTGAGCGAGCAGCTTCCTGGACCACCTGCTAGCTCGTTCCAAAGCTGTAGGACATAAAAACATTATATCCCGTCTTTCTCACAGTGAATGAGCTCACCAGCGGCAGCAGCTGGCCCACTGTGTGCTCTACTGTGGTTGTGTATGTGGTGCTCAAGTTCCTGCAGGGTGGGGGTGCAGGTAAGTACGACTGAAGATGAGGAGGATGGCCTCGAATGTCAAACAACTTTGATTCATCGTTTCCTCATCCTCATCCCAGGTTCCTCAGGGTTTGTCAGCAACGTGCGCACTTTTATGTGGATCAAGGTGCAGCAGTTCACCAATAGGGTCGTTCAGGTTCGCTTGTTCGCCCATCTTCACGCTCTCTCTCTACGCTGGCATCTCAGCCGCAAAACCGGGGAAGTGCTGAGAAGCATCGACCGCGGCACCTCTTCCATCAACAGCCTCCTCAGGTAAAACGTCACCTCTTGGCCTTTAGTACCACCGGGCCTTGTGTTTGGATTTTGATCTCCAGTCGTAAAATGAACTGTATTTTTTTTTACAGCTACATAGTGTTCAGCATCTTTCCAACCATTGCTGATATCGTCATCTCCATCATCTTCTTCATCACTAATTTCAACGCCTGGTTCGGCCTGATCATCTTCGTCTGCATGACTTTGTATCTGAGTAAGCGGCGATCGATCAGAACCTTGATCGAGTGTTCGGGTTTAGTTTAGAAGTCCTCTGATTGCTCTGTTGGCGTCCCTCAGCTCTTACCGTCATCATCACCGAGTGGAGGACCAAGTACAGACGGGCCATGAACGAGCAGGACAACGCCGCCAAGGCCAAGGCTGTGGACTCCTTGTTAAACTTTGAGACGGTAGGTCGAACACATTTCTGTAATCTGGAGGGAAGATGAACTCTCGTGGTGCCGTTTGTGTTGATGTGAACCTCAAACTATATCCTCTTTTATAAATAAACACGAGTTAAACAAAAGGCTTCAATTTACAAGCAGGGAATTTCTCAATGGTTGTCCACGGGTTGCTAGGAGACCGCTTCTTCCTTGTTACACAAACATGACTCGGGTTACAGACCAAACCAGACTTCCAGGAAAACCTCGTTTGGATCAATGATGCAAAAGTGGAGATGCTTGTACTTCATTATATGTAAAAACTTCTCAAATGTACAACAGATCAGCACCGAGGAAGCTGCTGGACCGGTGCTCCTTCCAGCCACTGCACTAACCATGAGCTCGTTTGACTACCAAAGTGTTCTGGAGTCGGATGTTTTAACGACCGGAAAGCGCTACGACAACAAAACACCTAAAAATAACAGTTTTATTAACCGCGTTGTGAAGAAGAGGAGTTCTAAACTCCTCAGCATGTTCCTGCTGCAGATGCTGGTTCTATCTGCTGCCTCGTTCTCTTAGTCCCACGCTAAGCAACATTAATCACACTCTCATCCTTGTGAGCTCACCTTTGCCTCGTGTCTTCATGATCAAGAAAACGGAGAGCTTATCCCGTTTGTTGACACGGGTTTTAATTTTGAAAGGTAAACAAACTTGAGTCAGACGTCAGATTAGTGGAGACAAAATAATTCCGGTGAAGCCTTTTGGTCAGACGACAGCTGTCGGATTTCCTTTACACCATTAAAAGGTTTTTGTTTGAAAATGAACATCTGGCAGCAAAATTGGTGATGGGCCTCGCTTGCATGTACATTGCATCTAAAACGTACCGGTGCCGCTGTTTTACAGGTGGAGCGAATACTCCTGGAAAAAGTTGATTTGGCAAACTTCAGTTGGAAAACAAGTCAAAGGTCCAACCCCCTTTCTTTAGGCTCTGCCCATAAGCCACGCCCCCAGAGTACAAGAGAATGCTGCATTCAATGAAAACATTAAGTTTTCTTACATTTAGACTCACTGTCAGCCTCTTTTCTGCCATAATTCCTAACGCATCTACGTAACAGCCGCAGAACTTTCAGAATGGACTCCTCACGGTCCGGTGCGACTCAGGAGTGCTCCGGATTCTATCCTCTCTGAGCGTTTACGAGACCGAAGCCACTGGGACCTAGATCAGAGATCCAGCAGGACTGGGCTCAGCACACTGGGAACGTCCTCTCCGTTACGCAACCGTGTAACCATTTAGCATGCTAGCTAACTTAGCTAGTGTGGCTCTGGCTGCGCTTCCCGTTTATCTGCTCCAAGCCACAAACACGTGATCCGTAGGGAGGTGTGTGCAGAGAGGAGAGGAGCAGTTGATGGATGGATGGATCAGGATCCAATCATTAAGAACGGGATGTTCACAATGACTGGATGAGGGTTTTCCAGGTTTTACTGTTTTTGTTTCCATCAGTATGTAAAGATAATTTTATGCACGATGGCGACAGAAGCTCCAGAAATCATCTCTACTGCAGAAATAGTGAATATATGGGGCGATGGTGGCACGGGAGTTAACTGCTCGCCTCGCAGTCGGAAGGTTGCAGGTTCGAGCCCCGCTCAGTCTGACGCTGCTGTCGTGTCCTTGGGCAAGACACTTAACCCACGTTGCCTGCTGGTGGTGGTCGGAGGGGCCGGTGGCGCCAGTGCTCGGCAGCCTCGCCTCTGTCAGTGCGCCCCAGGGCAGCTGTGGCTACATCGTAGCTCATCCCCACCAGTGTGTGAATGTGTGTGTGAATGGGTGAATGACTGATTGTGTTGTAAAGCGCCTTGGGGGGTTCAGGACTCTAGAAGGCGCTATATCAAATACAGGCCATTTACCATTTACCATTTACATGTTTTTAATGGTTTAACTCCCTGATTGTTGCAAGTCAACGCTGGTTTATTTTTGCTGTATTTACCAGGTAAAATACTACAATGCAGAGAACTACGAGGTGAGGCGCTTTGAGCAGGCCATTCAGACGTATCAGGTAAGTCTGTTTTTATTCAAACCCGGCTGGATTTATTCCTATACATGTCCAGAGTTTGGTTTATGTCAGTGTTGTGTGTATTGTGCTTCCTGGTCTAGGGTTCAGAGTGGCAGGCTCAGGCGTCCCTGGCCCTCCTCAACCAGACCCAGAACCTGATCATCGGACTGGGCCTGCTAACCGGCTCCCTGCTCTGCGCCTACTTTGTCACGGAGAGAAAGCTCCTGGTATGGACCCCGCTGGGATTCCAGATGTTCTGACGTTACTTTCTTAAAGAAAACTATAAATGAGGATTTTCTGGTATCAGGTGGGAGATTTTGTTCTGTTTGGCACCTACATCATCCAGCTGTACACCCCCCTCAACTGGTTTGGAACCTATTACAGGTGAGCGACTTAGGGCTCCTTCCTGTTAATGGGGAGTTTTCCCTCTCCACTGTCGCTACATGCTTGCTCAGTATGAGGATTGATGTGATGAAATGTTCACTTTTGAGACCGCTTGTCGTGATTTGGCGCTGTATAAATGAACTGATGTAAACAAAAGTGACTAAATATTGATTTTATTTCTTCTGCTTTTCCCTCCAGTTAAAACAAAGATGGAATAAATGAATCTGTATTATAAAAACAGCTGCTGGGGGGTAAACTTTAATGTTGTTTCTGCAGAATGATCCAGAATTCTTTCATTGACATGGAGAACATGTTTAAACTGTTTGAGGAGGAGGAAGAGGTTGGTTTAAATCCGAACGCCGTTTAGATTTCAGCGTGGAGTTGTGTGATCTTTAACGTTCGTCTCTGCAGGTGAAGGATGAAGTCAATGCTGGGAATTTGCTGTTCAAGCTGGGAAAGGTGGAGTTTGAAAATGTTTACTTCAGCTACCTGAGCGGGTTCGTTGCAGTCGGAGGGATTTAGTAAAAGTTATGTGACGGTTTTATAGCAGCTAGTTAAAATTCTTGTTTTTGTTTTACAGCAAAGAGATTCTTCGAGACGTCTCCTTCACCGTTCTTCCCGGACAGACGGTGGCTCTGGTATGGCCGCTTTTATCTATGGACTTGCTTTATTTTATTCCTAGGATCAAAGCCAGCTGCGGTCATGAAATCTTTTAAGATTTGATTGGACTTCTATCGTTTTTGTTGTTCTGTCCAAGGTCGGACCGTCGGGATCAGGAAAAAGCACCATCGTCCGCCTGCTTTTCCGCTTTTATGACGTCCACGGAGGCTGCGTTCGCATCGATGGCCAGGATATCTCAAAGGTAGGTGCAAGACGGCAAGAAAAGGCCTCAAAAGTCCATGTGAATGTGTGAATGCTTCAAAAATGTGCAATAAAAATGATGTTGTTCCTCAGGTGAAGCAGAAGTCTCTGCGTTCCCACATCGGCGTGGTTCCCCAGGATACCGTGCTTTTTAATGACACCATCAGGGAAAACATTCGCTACGGTCGCATCACCGCCTCCGACCAGGAAGTGGAAGAGGCTGCTGCGGCTGCAGACATACACGATAAAATCATGACCTTCCCTGATGGTAATGTCTTAAATCATCCGTCTGCAGTCGCCTTCGTCATTAGGACTCCTCTGAAGTTAAACTTCCTCTCGTCTCTGGCGGCCAGGTTACGACACACAGGTGGGGGAAAGAGGTCTGAAGCTGAGTGGAGGAGAGAAGCAGCGGGTCGCCATAGCCAGAACCATCCTCAAAGCTCCCCAGATCGTGCTGCTGGATGAGGTTAGGGTAACCAGATGTGGTTTAACAGATGCGGGTTTATGTAAACAGCTTTTTAGAACCTTATGCTTGTGATTTTTTTTAGGCAACGTCTGCTTTGGACACCCAGACGGAACGCAACATACAGGCCTCTCTGGATAAAGTCTGCACCAATCGTACTACTGTCGTTGTGGCGCACAGGTAAGACGTTTCTGTGCAGAAAGGGGGTATTTTTGTCTTTTCTTTACTAATAAATCCATATTTTTAACACAAAAGATTGTCGACCATCATCGGAGCAGACCAGATTCTGGTCGTCAGTGACGGTCGGATCGCTGAGCGAGGACGGTGAGTGTTCGCTTCACACCTGCTGCTTGGAACACTCTTACCTGTGAATTGTGAGTAAATGCCAGCATTTGTGTTTTTCCCCATTGTAGACACGAGGAGCTGCTCCTAAAAGGAGGCCTCTATGCTGACATGTGGCTAAGGCAACAGCAGGCCCATGACTCCGATTCCTCCTCAGACACGGAAACCAAAGATCGTAAATCTGAGAAACTCCAACCGCCTTCAGCCTCTTTGGCCCACCACAAACACTGATCGTATCTGTGGTCTTGACAAAGCTACATTATTTTCTCTTTAAGTTGATGCTTTATTTATAAAGAACACTTGGATTGACAAGAATATTATTTATTCCTGGAGTTTTTGTGCAATATCAGATTTCTTGTCCAGTCACAACTTGCATTATATGCATCAGTAAATTAAAGGGTCAGGTAAAAGGAACGTCATTGGAAATTATTCTCATCTAAATAGTGATGCTAAACTAAATTCTCACTAGAAGCACTTCTGTTTGACTTTTTATTGTTTTCATTTACTTTATGATGTCATATTATGTTCTTTTTTTTATTGTGGTGCTTGAAACAATCTAACCCAAGAACAAACCGAAAAGATAAACTAGATCATTTGTATCTTGTTGCTCTGGGAAGCTAAAAATTCAGTTTTTCTTTTAATATTTAACAAGCAGTCAGGGATTTTGTCTTATTTTAGGTTTGACATTTTTTGAAATGACGTTCTTTTTTCTTAGATGTGCAGAAATATTCAGTTTAAACTTTACAAGGTGTGTGGGATTGTCTGATCATTGTATTTTGTAATGACTTGTAAATGTCTATTTTTGACATGCTGATTGTATTGAAACTTGTCCAATCAATGTTAATTCAGTCATTGCTGACAGTTTTTATTTAATCAACATGTTAGAAGATCTTCATAGAAAATAGATGCAATAGAACGCACATTCAGAATACGTCCTGATGTAAATCTGCAGTAATTTATCTATAAAGATATATAACTGTAAAGTATTTTTACACAAATAAAGTTTGTTTCAATCTAAAATGTTTTGGGTAAAGTTAATTTTAGAACACAGCGCCCCTGCCGTCAAACATGGGTATTAATTTAAAAAAGAAAGCAAACGGTGGTTGCCTCTCAGCGGTGTTTTGCTGACAAATGTATCCCTGCTGTTAAAAGTACCCCAGCGCCTGGTTTATGTCACTGAAAAGAGTTAACGAAGTTTAAAAAAATTACGAACTACAATTAATTTTGATTTTTTTTTGTTAGACACATTTATAAATGAACGATGTTTGCCACTTTTGACTCAAAAACATTTTCAGTGAGAGGACATACACTTTCTATAACGAGGGTGCATTTTTCAGCACACCACCATCCAGGGCGCGCTGCGGAGACAGGCGGGGTCCGGGCCGAGCAGACTTCTCTCACTCGTTTTTCTGGCGCGCTAATGTTTAGTCTATAGTGAACATGGATTTCGACGCCTTAATTAACGAAAATAACTTTCATTTTTCGGACTTCCAAGAGTTCACGGTACGTGGCCAAGCTAGGTTAACGAGTTGCGTTAGCTAGTGTTAGCTGTCTGACCTGACGGATACGATGACTCTCTGGGTTCCTTATATGGCAAACAAGGAAATGTATCTTCTATTTGTCTCTATCATACTGCTCAGGGATCTGGTGGTTTGTTTGGATTTAATAGTGACACAAGTTATTCGGTTAAGACTACGTCTGTAGTCTAGTTGCTTATGCTAGTTTAAGTTCTAGCATTAGCTAATGAAAACAGTTAGCGTTAATAGCTAACAGATTACTTTATAACAGTTGATTTATAATGCGGGAAGGGTCCTGAACGCTTTGCTTTGCTTGTTTGTTTGTCGTTAAGTTAAGTTTGGCATTCTAGCAGTTTGTTATGCTAACCCTAACCCTCTCCCGCATTAAAGATGCTAACCTAATGCAAGCTAATGTTTTTACAGTTTCTTCCTGGACACCAAAAACTAACGGAACGAGTGAGAAAAAGACTGTACTATGGCCTGGACAAAGATGTTGCTTTAGACGCCCTTTCTTGTCCTGTTACAGGTGAGTTACTGTGCAGGTGTTGCAACCATCACAATTTGTGACCCCGGGGAGCAGTGTTGCATTTTGTTGCGTCTGTACATCCTGAATTGGCATAAAAGCGGAAGATGCTAGGTTAAAGCCGTAAACTACGTAAGCTTTGAGGAAGTTGTGCGGCGCGGACCATGGTCACACGATATGATCGTGGCTATCACAGAATGTGACCATCTGGATCAGTAATAATGCAGATAGGGTTGCCAACCGTCCCTTGAAAAACGGAATCGTCTCGTATTTAGAAACACAAGTGCACGTCCCTTATTGAACTCAAAAGGGACGCACTTTGTCCCGTAATATAGTATGGATCAAAATTAGTCTGTAGTCTATTACCGGAATTAACGCTTTGTTTGAAAGCCAGCCCTTCGCCTGCTCTGTGACCAATGAACTGACCGCATGCTTACACACGAATATGACGATACAGATTACCGCTTATTTCATTGGTCGAGGAACGGTCGCTTGGGGAGAAGATACCGGAAGAAAACAGACGACAGCAAACAGCACGGCCAACCGGGAAACTAACGCCGACACTGCTGTACAAGTCTCGGACGACAGTACCCCTCCGAGAAAGAAGAAAAAAGGCTTCAAAAATACAGGGAGGAATGGGAAAAGGAAAATTCCTGGCTGGAAAAACTGCGCGATAACACCTATAAAGCGCACTGCACCGTGTACCGGCGCAGTTTTTCCAAAGGGCATGGTGGACTCACTGACCTCAAGCAACATGCGTCTAGTAGTAGCCACATGAAAAACATAAAGGACGTGAAATTACGGGGAACCCTCGATCAGTTTGTCGTCCACAAGGCCACGGCAGAAGCAGATATGGTAAGTAAACATTGCTTTTTTAAACCCTCTGGTTAAAGTGAAGGTATTTATATGAAGAAAAAAACCCACTGTGTTGGGGCTTGTTTACTATTATTTTTATTATTTTTGTTGTCTGTTTCTGTTTTGTCATTAGTTTTTCTATTTTTTTTTAACTTGGGTGTTTAGTTTCGATGTAGCCTTGTCTTGGTTTATATGTTGTTTGGATAATTTTAAACTAAAAGGATGGATAAATACATAATAAATAAAGTGAACTATTGTATTGTATAAAAGCTATACAATGTAATAAATATACAATAAATGTTTTCCATTTATTTACCACTGTAAGTGTTCTATGTGGTGCTTATAACCCAGGTTTACTTCTTATCTCCATTGGCAGGTTAAACATCTCTATGGATGAGCTTTATGACGAGTGTGTCACTGCAACCAGCCTTCTGGAGCCCCTCACCAAAGGACCTCAGGAGAAGGATAAGTGGCAGTCAAAGGGAACAGCAGAGAAGTGTATAGAAATTCTTCAGGCAGCTGACCTCTCCAACATCCAGCCTGTTGTATCGTTTGTACTCAGCATCCCATCTTCCACTGGATTGGCAGAGAGGATTTTCTCTCTCATGAAGAATAAGTGGACTGATGTGCGGAACAAATGTTCTACTGAAATAATTAGATGTGAGCTCATTGTCACTCTAAATTGTGACATGTTTTGCTCAGAGTTTTACTCTGCAGTACTGAAAGACAACTCCTAAATGCAGCAAGATCTCAAAAGAAATACAAATGGAGAAAATAGTCTGTTTTCACATAATGTAGCATTGAGCTTTTGAGTTCATGAGTTTGGACTTTTTTTTTTTTTACTTCAACCGTAGGCTACAGTCAAGGCCTTTGAGGCACAAATATGTTTACAGCTTCTCCACAGACTTTCTGTTTGCACTTTTCTAATTGCACTCAATGTGCAGTTACAGCGTTGCTCTTTCTGTTGTTTTCTATTAATTTATACAATTTTAAGTTAAGCAGAACAGAGTTGTTTTAAAGAGAGTTATTTATATTCTAAAAAGTAAAGCATAACAGGCTACCGTTTAAGAAAGAGACCTACTTTTTTTTTTGTCATTTTGCACAAAAAGTTGAGCATAACAGTTTTCTGTTTAAGAAAAATACCTTTGTTACTTATAATAATTTTGTAATTTCACGCCATAAATGTATGGCTAAATGATCATTTGTTTCCCATGTTTTCATATCACAAAGAATATGCATCTTCTTAAACCAACTTCAAGTCAAATGGTAAAAAAATAAAATCCTTTCACACCCACACACAAAAAAAGAGCAAAAAATCACCACGCTGGGAAGGGTGGCCTGGAGCGGCCGGCCCTGCCTGCGAGGTGTCCCTTATTTATTTTTCAGGGAGTTGGCAACCCTAAATGCAGATGTCTCTTAATTATCACTAAAGATAATAACAACAAAAGCCGTTTCGTGATGTTTGTGTCATTTTATTTTCCTTTTATCTCCACCAGTACATATGAGTGGCATTGGAGTGATAGGAAAAAAACGTAGCAACCAGATAATCTGCAGTGGTTTCTAATAAACTGAGGATGTAGATCACAACAATTTATTTCAATAAATGGAAGTTCTGAACATTTTACCTGCGGGCTTTGCTTGTTGTAAAATCAATGTTTAATGTTAGCAAACATCCTCAAAGCTTATGCAGTTTACGGTTTTAACGTAGCATGTTCTTCTTTTGTGCCAATTCAGGATGGACAGACACAACAAAACGCAACACTGTCCCCTGGGGTCACAAATTGTGATGGGTCACAGAATTTGGTGAAACACCTGTTTTGGTGTAGTTTAGATGGATAGCTTCCTTTTGTTGTCTGACGTTTCAGATGCTTATCTTGCATGTGAGATGTTTTGGCACATCCTGAAGCATGATGAGGAGCATATGTGTTGACTTTGTGCTTCCTGGAATTTCAGATATTGCTGTTGAATTCTTCCAGAAGTCTGCTCCAAGCCCAATAAAAAAGCTCCAAAAGGAGTATGCTGCTCATGTGGCAAGGTCTGTCTCATGTTATGGATCTGTGGCACTAAACCTGACATTCTAAAAATAGGAAATGATTACTAAATTCATCATTTGTGGTTCAGGGAGGCATGCATCTCTCCGTGTGCCATGATGCTGGCTTTGGTTTACATCGAAAGACTCCGACACAGAAACCCAGAATACCTGCAGAAGATCTCCTCGTCCGACCTATTCCTGATCTCAATGGTGCGTGTTTGGGATTCTTGATTCTTTGTAAACAGACATTCTGCTATTAAAAGTAACATAGAGAGAATCAAATTACCATCTGATGTTCTTTAGATGGTTGCCAGCAAGTACCTGTACGATGAAGGTGAAGAGGAAGAGGTTTTCAACGATGAGTGGGGAGCAGCTGGAAAATTGGATGTCCAAACTGTCAATAACCTGGAGATGAGTTTCCTGAACGCCATTGTGAGTGAATTTCCCCAGTGTGGGAATAATAAAGTTTGTTCTATTCCTGCTTGTGGAAAATTTCTCAACCTTTTGTTTTTTAGGAGTGGAGCCTCTTCACGGAGCCAAAAGACGTCTTTGACATGCTAAGCCAGCTGGAAACCAGGTTGGTGATTTCTAACGTTTTCAAAATAAATATTCAAAACAAAATTATCTTATTAAAAGGTGTAAAAATTGAGTTGCCATATTTTTAATCAGTAGTTTCCCTGAAAGTTGACCTAAAGGAGCAGAAAATACTTAGTTCTGATTTGTTTATTTTTTAATCCTGCATTGAATTTGTAGCATTGCAAAACACCAGGGCATGAAACGGGGCTGGTTCACCTACACGGACCTGTGCGTCCTCCTGGAGCACACTGCATGGAGTCAAGCCCTAATGGCAGTTTATCAGCACTTTACAAAGGTAGGGAAAGGAACTGTGTGCATACTTATACTGAAAGGCTCTCAGCTGATTTAGAGTATTATTGGTTGATTTGTAACTCACAGTTTTTATTTCTTGTTAGAAACTGCTTTAATAATAACGTTTTTCAGCCTGCTTTTGTTGTTTGTTGGCTGCGGTACTTAAATTTCACCCCAGGATGAAATTTAAGGTGTCATAAATCACCTTTAGTATTTGTGTTTTTAAGCACTGGATTAATTAAAATCTATTTGTTTACATCAAGTGGGCAGAGCTTAAATCTTCAACTGCAGCCAGCCCCTTGACTTCCACTTCTGTGTTACAAGTGACCGCACGATTGCCAAGCAGCAATCCAAAATCTGACGTTTTTTACCAGTCAGTGAATGCACCATCAGTTAGAAGAGAATAATAATTTTCTATTTAACAAGAAAATAAGTTGGATTCTGTTCATTACAGTTCAGGACCAATCTGAATTTGTAGCTGGTATCGGCCCACAAAACCACACTCCTGGGTCTTTTACTTTTGCATCCAAACTACAATAAGTTTTGGGGGGGGGGGCATCAATGAGAGATGATAACATTTCACTTGTTTACAGGTCTCCTGTATGCTTGGCCTGGTGTATCTCACCAGTGTAGCGGGCCTCATCGCCACCAGCGCTGTGCTGCAGCAGCTGGATCTCTCCAGAGGAGACCAGTCTATTGTTCTCCCATCAGAAGAAATCTGTTTCTCCCACATCCCGACTTCCAACCTCAGCCCAGAAGCCGCTGTTGCTGCAGCCCGCCGCCCATCCTGCTGTGTGCTGTCCAACAAGAGTCAGACTGGTTCACTAACTCCTGCACCTGTGTCTGCACAGACGTCTGTTTTCTTCTCTCTTCTGGCCTCTGTAGTTTATAAACGTCCCGAACAAAATCCCAAAATGGAATCCACCAAGTCCTGGTCTGCTTCCTCCGTCGTCTGCCCTGGCTGTCTTGGACCGCCGCCTCATCTTCAGTGTCTTCTTCGAAACACCTCCACACTCCACAGCAACGGCCCCTTTAAAAACCACCCGCAGTTATTGTCTCTGCCCTCCGGGGTTTTTGGAGCGGCAGAACTGAGTCAGAACTCTCCCTTTGGCCTCTTTGCACCTCTAAATTTGCACTCATGCTGTCCAGAGTTTCTGCTGCCTGGCGACAAATACCAAGCTCTGCTGGTACCCGGCTAGACATCCAGGTTTGCTAACGTCAGATCTGCTCTGGAATTGATGGTTTTGCTTTTCCAGATGTAGATTAAATGTATGTTTCACTTTTCAGAGTGGAGGGAAATGGTTTTGTGATGCGAAAGAAGCTTAAGTTTTACTTTTAATGCAGATATTTGGAGTTCATGTGTTTTCATTAGCAGCAACAAAACTTCAGGTTTAAATTGGTCTTATAGGATGCTTCCGTCTTTGAAAACAACAGTCATATTCAAGCTGGAGGAGTGAGGGCTAAGTATGTCAGTATTTTTACGAATTTGCTTTTATAATAAAGAGGGACGCAATATTTACAGCATTTTTATTTTACTCATAATTACACAATTAGTACTTATGATTTTGGTCTATCACCCACGAAAAGCACTGGTTTTCTTTTTGTTTGTCGTACAGATTTTATTTTTTCAGCTAAACTTGACTTGGATTGTAACATAGGAAGGTATCACAAACAGGAAGTAGGTACTTGATCGAAAGTTCTATCACAGTGCAATCTCTCATTCAACAGTCCTATTTTTGCTCCGATATTAAACAAATTCGTTATGTTTTTGTGTTGGCAGGATGTTACACGGACAGGACTCGTTAGGCATTTTTTGGGTTCAAGCTGGTTTCTGCGTTAAACGCTAACGGCAGGGTTCTTTTCTTGTTGCATTTGCACACCTTGCTCCATTTTCACCACCACTTTATTTTTCATGCTACTGCATTGTCTCCTTGTGTTTGGAGCATTTTTTTAAAAATTCATATTTTTGGGGGGAAATCTAGCAAGAATGGGAAAATGTTCAAACCTGGCAAACCACATATAAGTATTTGAATCTGATACACTTTGGAGCACAAATATCTTTCATTTTGTACATGGTGAAAAATGTGTAGAAACTGAAGGAATAAATGCTTTTCTTTAAACTGATTTTGTCACCTTGTCCTTTTTTATTTTGATACACTTAACAAACCACTGCTACAATTTTTATTTTCACTTGTATAAATGTAAAATGTGGTTTATTTTGGTGCAAAACACAGGTGTGTCCTAAAAGCTGATATTTTTGGAGCCAGGAAACTGAAAGTAAGTAATCTTTATTTATATAGCACCTTTCACAAGGTGCTTCACAACATTGTACATATAAAACAAAGTTCTGCCTACCCACGTATAAGTTGTGTTTTTCCGCTGATTACATTAAATGTATAAGACATTAAATTAGAATAAGGAGCAGCAAGTTAAAGAGATGGTGCGTATTCTCCCTGGCGACAAGGGGCAGTGCATACCTAAATCCCTGCAAGCAAACAGTATTTTTGTGTTTGAGTTAAGACCTTACCAACGGATGGCCATTAGGGTCAAAAATCCCTGGGAGCGCATTTGTCGAACAAGTACTTTGTCAGATTGTTCATCCTGCGGCAAAATGATCACATCAGACCCTCTTTCATCACTGGCAACGAGCAAAGAGGTAAATGTAAAACGTTTATGAATGGGCAACATTTTGTAACCGCTTGTTAAAAAAACGTAAACACGTTTTGTCCTCACAGGCTCACGTAAAAGGAAACGGCGTCTAATATGGCTTTTCCAAGACCTGCACTCGTGTATTTTAGACCCGATTTTAATGGTTATATGTTACACATTGTCACTTTAAAGTGACAGTGTGTATTTTTCCTGGCGATAGGGGGCAGTAGATTCCTAAATCATTGCAAGCAAGCAGTATTTTTGTGTTGGAGTAAGATCTTACCAACGGATTCCCATTAGGGTCAAAAAGCCCAGGGGAGTGCAAACGTCAGCAAAATAAGTACATAAGACTCCCTTTCATCAATGGCAACAAGTGAAGAGGTAAATGTGTAAAACAACATTTAAGAATGATGAAAATTTTGTAACCATTTGTTACAAATCAGTAAATGCATTTTGTCCTCATGGGCTCCCATAGAAGGAAGCATGGCATCTAAAATGGCGTCACCCAGAGACTTAGGGTGTTTCTCAATGCCAAGGTGCCTGAAGTGAGGGCCCGGGCGGGATTCGGTCCCCACACTCCCGGGTGAGAGTCACGCACACTAACAGCCAAAGGCTGTAACGTCACGTGACACGGGAGATAACGTTATATTTTATACCTATAAGTTTCAATATAAATACATAACAAGCCATTTACTTTTTAAATTGTGTAAATATTTAATAAATTACATATATGTGAGTTACTACCCACTAGTCACCGAAGCTGCAACTACTAAGCAACTAACCAACCATAGATAACTTCTTTAGATCTAAAAAAAAACAGTTTAAATTAGTTGACTTTTTTTTTATTTGAAATTTGCCCCCGAAGTATCTGCCGGCTTCTGATCCACCATCCTTTTGAAAATACTGCGGTGTAGTCTGGGAAATCTTTGACCAAGGCTAGGCTATAAGACACCTCCTATTTATCCTTGCTCAGCTAGCTGAACGGCTAACAAACAGAGAACACAGGCCTCGGTAGAACATGAACATTGGAACACATCTTGGTGGTTCCTGATGACGTATCTCCTAGGCAACCGGGGCGGGGCCAAGACATTAAGGCGAGGTTAATTGAGAAACACCCTTAGACCCGCTCCATGTATTTTAGACCTGATTTTTATGGTTATACGGTACAAAGCCTTAAATATATTTCAACAACTGAGCATCATTTAATTCATTTTCAACAATATTTTGATTGATATTTCCAGAGATTAATGGTAAAAACTACACATTGTCTCTTTAAGAAAATTCCCATTCATTTAAATGAAGGGGCGGAGCTTAAAACAGATAATGCAACCAGCCACCAGGGGTCCGGCTTCTTGTTCCCATTGAACTTTCAGGTTAAATTCAGATGTGGAGTTATTTAATCCAAGTTTCCAACGGGTGCTTAAAGCCCTTGAAAGTGCTTGAATGTTTGATAGAGTGCTTGAAACCAGTTACAGAAAGTCATAGGAAAACATTTACTTTTATAAGACAAGAATATCTAGCAGATGCTGACAAATCTTGAAAACTGACCTTGAGAAGTGACTGATTTGCTTTGATTTTGGCAAAAGTGTGAAAAACTGCCTGTATGTATTAGACAACACCGTTTGTGCAGGATATCCGCTCTGTCTAGCTACAACAGCAAAATGCATTTGTCTGATGGAGCTTTTAAAGCGATACTTCTCTCTAAATAACACATGTTACTCTTCCTATTTAGCTCTAATATTGACTGTTATCGCTCACTTTTGCGTTGAGCATGAATCAGAGAAATGCTGACAAATGATAGCCATAGAGCTAAAGTCATGCACATTCCCAATCTTTTAGCTATAGTTGCAGAGATGTGACATATGCATTATGATTGGATAGTTGCAGCACTGGTCCTGAGCCAAAGAACATGGTGGTCCGGTATGGCCATCACAGTCTGTGCGAACATGACAACGATGACTGTTGACATTTAAAAAGCAGATGTCTAGTTTTGGCAGAAAACTCAGTTCCTCCTATTGAACTTGTGCCAACCCCCCCCCCCCCCTCCCCCCAGACACATACCACTTCCAGAGCTCCTAATATAGACCCAACTGCTTTGTGGAAAAGGGTAACAAACCCACTGGTCCTCGTCGCTCGCTGCTTTTGGAACTACTTTTTCATGGACACACAGAATAATGGAACCTCGTGTTTCAAAGGTAAAGTGCGACCAGTTTTTAAACTTGAAGCTTTTACTTTTGGCAAGTCATGAGGTCAATGTTTCACTTGTAGGTGTCGTGTTCACAAAAGACGCAGGAGATCCAGAAAAAAGGTGTGTCTGACCGTGATCTATATCTGCAAAAACATCAGTGTTACAACCTGACATTAGTAAATGTGCATACACCCTGTGTCCATGTTGGCAAGCTGCTGCGGTTTCTTTTTCCCATAGAGGCTGATGCCACCATCTACTTAAATTTTATGAAGAGCCACAGCTGCTATGACGCCATTCCGATCAGCTGTAAACTGGTCATATTTGATACCACGTTACAAGTAAGAATGGCGCTTTTCAGTGAGACAAATTAAAATCAGCATTTCAACCTTTTGTGACGTCTGAATTTCATTAACTTATCCAAAAGGTGAAAAAGGCCTTTTTTGCTCTGGTGGCAAACGGCTTAAGGGCGGCACCTCTATGGGACAGCAAGTTGCAAAGATTTGTGGGTAAGAAAATAGAACCATTGGTATAAATACATAAGATCTAGTTGATTTGAAATCTGCTTGGGCTACAGGTATGCTGACCATCACAGATTTCATCAACATCCTCCACTGCTACTACAAGTCCCCCTTGGTGAGCAGGAACATGAGGTCCATTTGCACAGTTCCTTTTCTGGGCCACACACTAATAAAAGCACACCATATAACAAAACCAATGTTGATAATACATGGTTTGATTCTGAGGTGTGAATTATTACTTTAAAATATATTAATTGTCTTGACTTTTTAATTCATGTATTATTTGCGACACGCTCACATTGTATTTTCTTCCCCGAAGGTCCAAATGTATGGCCTGGAGAGCCACAAGATCGAAACATGGAGAGGTGATTCACTTCAAAGTAAATATACTTCCAGATGAATTACAATTTGGATCACAAATCTGATTTTCCAATTGAGATTTCCCTATTTTTCCATCTAGATGTGTACTTACGGAATCCTAGCCATTACCTCATCAGTATTTCTCCAGAGGCTAGGTGAGTGGCAACTTAACTTTTGTGAATAGTTTTTCTCACAAAGCATCACATTCCTCTGGTTTCCTTTCTTTTATTGTAGCCTCTTCGATGCCATCTATTCCCTACTCAGATACAGGATCCACAGGCTGCCCGTCATTGATCCCGAGTCTGGGAATGTCCTGCATATTCTGACCCACAAGAGAATTCTCAAGTTCCTCCATATATTTGTGAGCAAGCTTTAACTTTCTGTTTGGAAACACGCTGTGGCACATGGATCTTCTGCTAATATTTAGATGTATTCAGGGAAAAAAGGTTCCCAGGCCTGCATTCATCCAGAAGCAAATCCAGGAGTTGGGGATAGGAACGTTCAGGAATATCGCCACTATCCAGCAGACAGCATCCCTTTATGATGCCCTCTCCATATTTGTGGAGAGGCGGGTGTCAGCTCTTCCAGTGGTGGATGAACAAGGTATGTTACTGGTAGCAGCTACGTATAATCCTGCAATGTGCTGAGCTAAGCATTTATTTATTCCTTTTCTCAGGCAAAGTGGTAGCACTCTACTCAAGATTTGATGTCATTGTAAGTACGATTTTGCAGTTAAACTTACGATACTAAATAATGCACCTTATTTGAATAGAAATATTGACCCTTTTCTTTGACTGGAAGAATTTGAAGAACCAATCAGAAGTAATTTAAGAAAATTCTGGATCATTAAAGGTCTCATTCACCCTTTTTTATTTTTAATAAATTTGCGGCGGTCTGAATGACTGAATGCCTTCGTTTTCTGTAGGGCTAAAAAAGCTCTAGCACTCAGGATTACAAATCTTAACCCTTCTTTCCACTGCACGTGAATGCGTCGTGAAACGGCCGCGAAACGTACTACGCGCCAGTTAGCTGCCATTGTAGTGGATGAGTTCCTTTCCACCGGCAGCGAAGTGTGACGTTATGCACGCGCCCCAGAAGCGACGGCACGCTATCATTACGCTCCAAGTCTTTTCACTTCCCAAACATGTCAAACTCCGCAGTTGAGATCGGGTCAGACAGGAAGTCAAACACAAAAACAGTGTAGAACATCTGAAAACTTTCAAAATAAATGTCAAGTGCAGTACGTCAACTTCTGTAACTGATGTAAACAGAAGAGAAAATAACCCACAGACATGTTTTCATGCGTGCGGCTGTCTTTCTTCTTGTTTATTATTGTGTGTGGACGTCTGGAATCATGCATGGTGTTGCAAATCTTCTGTGATTACGTGATGTCACGGGATCAGCTGTGTGGGCCGCTTTCGCTCACGTTTCGTGTCTGAATTGCTCCTTTGGTTGGGAACAACTCGCGGGTGGAATGCCGCTATTGCGTTACGCGACCACTTTCACGGCCAGTGGAAAGCCAGGGTTACTCTTTAATCTTTTTGTTTAAGCAGACGTCTCACCTCTGATTCGCTAATAGCTACGCGACTCTTCCTCTGCCTTTGTTTACAAAACTCAGAATATTGCAGAACATATTTATTTAGGTAAATAATGCTACGTTGATGTTTTATCTCTACAACTGGCACAAGCCCGAACCTGTTTCGCTATGCCGTAGAGTTGCTATTAAAGTTAGCTTCTACTGGCTGAGACACTCTCTGCTCTCCCCCTTCCTGTGGGTGGGGCAAAGCCAAGGTGGGCGGGGCCATGAATGCTAGTTTTTTCTGTGTTGTAGAAGAGACTGGCTTTTTTCTGACCAGATTTTGTTTTCCTGTTTATTTGTTTTCTCCAGCTAATGCAGGTGATAGTGGTTAAAGAAAAATTTCACGTTCAGCTTGTGTTTACAACTCAGAATGAAGTATTGTACGGTTTCTCGGTGAACAAGAAATTCAAACATTAAAGAGAAACCATTTTAAAATGATTTTTGAAAATGATCGATTACTCTTGAGTTTAACATGCAGACTGAACGGGAAAATTGTTTCTTACACCTATTACCTGGATTAGCTTAAAGAAAATAGATGGTGAAAGTATAGGATTTGATAAGCCTGATCTATACCACACTGTCACTTAACATTCATGAACCGAGGTCTCACCCTTGAGGAACACCACAACTCAAATGAACCAGTGATGATCATTGTTGGTGATAGAAACAATATTTTTGAGAAGTATGAGCGTTTTAAACTCAGATATGAGCACGTGTCTCACTGATGGAGGACATCTTGATGTGCAGCATCAAATCTGAGCTGTCTCCTCTTTTAACACTCCATATTTGTTCCCTGGCAGAATCTGGCCGCCCAGAAGACTTACAACGATCTGGACATAACAATGCAAGACGCTATTCGCAGGCGAAAATGTTGTGTTGAAGGTGTGATCACCTGCTTCCCAGAAGATACTTTAGAAGTGATTATAGACCGGATAGTTGAAGCTGAGGTTGGTTGTTCTGTGTTTTATCTGATGTCTTGTTGATATATGATTAATTTATAAATGGAAATCATTAGTTTTCCTTTCTTCTCCCAGGTCCATCGGCTGGTTCTGGTGGACAGGGCTGATGTGGTAAAGGGCATTATCTCTCTGTCTGACCTCCTGCAGGCCTTGGTTCTAACGCCTGTGGGCATTGATGCCCTTCTGTCCTAGCATTGGTTGGTAAATGTTCCCCTCTTCTGCTTCATTACTTGTGCAGGACTTATTGGCACTGTGCAGAGGCAGGTAGGCTCACAAGAAAGAAAGAAAACTCAAATGAAGTCGTGAAATCAATGCCATTGATTTTGTAATTATGCTAATTGCAAACAATGATCATACTTAACTTGTCTTTCAGAAATGGCATTCAAATGACAAAAGGAGGGCAAGTTCCCTGGTTGTCCTGGTGTTTTCCATCTTGTCTACCATGATCAGTTCTTTTTTTTCTTTTTCAAAATAAAAGTTAAGGAGAGTTGACTTTTCTGCCCTAATGGATTTCAGGTTGCCTTTGGGCAATGGCCACCATGGTGAAGGCACAATTTGTTGAAACGGACTGTTCAACATGTGTTTGCTTTTTATATGAATTTGTTTAAACTGTTTCTGATGTGTTGTCTTTAATAAGACTCCTACATAATAACAATGTGTTTTTGTTAATTACATGGAAAAGCCACTGCATGGCGTAACACCCCCTTTTTCTTATCTGTGACGACCCTTATGATTCCTCCGCCCACCATCATTGGATCACGTTAGTAACTAGACCGGAAATACACTTGTCCTTCAACATAAAACAAACCACATCCCAGCATTTGACACATTCACAAAATATAATAAATGTTCCACATTTGTACTTGTTTGAAAAAATGATTTACTGCTTTTTATGTCCATTTTAAAATCACAACATTGAGATAAAGGTAACTTCAACACGGTTTACTAATAAAAATCTATTTTATTCATGCCCTGGCCTACGTTAATAATATTTGGTATGAAAACGTGCATCTAAAAAAATCTAAAGATAAAATTGAATTAGTTTAACTGACTTTTTTATTTGGGACTGGGAGTCTTGGAAAATTGCTAAGAACAAAAATACTCTTTTGATATTTATTTGTAAATGCTCATTAAATTGGCTTCTTGATGGGTATTGAGCCATAAGGGCTATCAAGTTGGTAAAATAGTGACATTTGAACTAAAATAAATCAGAGGTAAACCTAAACTTTATGTAAAAGAACACATTTTAATGTTCTTTCACAGATGTGTCATTTTTTATTCTATATTAATACATTTGTTATTTAAACAGATGACAACATTTTTTTAAACCTGTGCTTTTTGGAGAAATGGCCTGAGGGTGCCTTATATGGTTCCTGATCTAGGTTATTAGTTACATCTAAATGGTTTTTTCAAAATCTGATAAAGTTTCTGCGTGAGAAAATGTGTAAATAACTATAATTAACCATTTCCTTCAGACGTCGGCATGGGTGTTTTAATCATTTCATTTTTCCAAAAAAAAATCAATTAGGTTTATTTGCATGGATTTATTTTGTTTGCTTATATTATTTAGCTATGTATTACATGTGTCCAGTCCTTTAAAGTAAATTGATCAAAACAGTAATAAAAAATGTTTTCTTCAATGCCTCAAGAAAAAAACACGGACTAGTGTCTCTTATTTTGAAGACGTTACCGGATGTTGAAGTTTACGTAAGAACGTCTCCTTGATTATGATCTTTCCACTTACCCCGTGATCTCCAAAACAACATAACAAAGTGGGGAAAACATGGCGAGCGGAGAGGAGGCCAGCAGTTACCCCTCCGTTACCTCCTCTTCGGTCGGCCTGGAGGACCTCTTCCCCGCGGGGACGTCGGAGCAGGCGTGTGGGGACGCAAACCCGGAGCTCGAGCGCTTGCGGGAGCGTCTTCAGGCTTGGTTATCGCCGTACGAGCCCCTGCTGCTGTGGGTGCAGCGGCTGCTGGTCTGGGAGAGGCCGCTCTACAGCATCGCTGCCGCTCTGACACTCAACACTTTATTCTGGTAAACGACAATTAAATGTTTGTTTGATGATAAAGTTGCTTTGGAGCCGGTTTTTACGCGGCTGGCAGGTGTCAGAGAGGATATTACGAATAAATGTCAAGATAAGTTAGCTAATCCTACGTCTTTAGCCCAATGCTAACCTAGCTCGTAGTTTACACTGAGTTAGCACGGAAATGTGTCGTCGTGTTTATAGAAAAACATGATAACCGGTTATTCTGAGTTACATCTTTCACTAATTCAAGCAAACACTTGTGTTCTTCTCGGTTACCCCGTGTCGGTCGTTTTCCTCTGAGGCATTAGCCCTGTCCATGTGTTTGTTTTCCACAGGCTCCTGTCCTCCACCTCCCTACGGCCCCTGTTCCTGCTCAGCGTGTCCCTGCTGGGGTTGATGCTCCTGGAGAGATGGAAGCCCAAGTTACCCATCATTACCGGTGGGTCCAGTCCTCCCATTGACTACTACTGCCATGGTTTTACTGGCAATATTTGGGACCAGCTAGTATTTTACCTGATTTAACCATAAAGTTAGGGTTCAAGGGACCGCTTTAAACAATTCATACTTTCTGGGTTTTATACAGCTTAGTCATTCCACACTATAATTAAAATCAATCAAATATCAAACTTCCAAACTAAAGGTGATCCAGTGAGATACTAGCTTCATTAAATGTTTATTATCACCTTACTGATGTGTTATCTCCTCACTTTTGCACTTAAATCATATCATACATGATAATTATCTGTAATTATTCCACATCTTGATTCTCTGTGAGGATCTTAAAACTTTGCCTACGATTGTCTGCTAATGGTCTTTATTCACTTTTCCAGTTCATCCCGCAGAGACTCGGCCTGATCAAAGGTAGGTTGATTTTAAATACTTTATATTTTTCTTTTATGTTCTGTTCTCCTCCATATTTGTGTGTGTGTTTGTGTGTGTGTGTGTGTGTGTTTTCTCCTTTGTTTTTATAAAAACCTGAAACTCTACCAGTACCGACACCCTGATGCTATTCATGTCTCGCACAAGTGGTAATTTTCTTTTTCTTGTGTTCCTTTAAAAACAAACAAATAGCGAAACACTGAGTTCGGAGCATCACCTGCTCAGCGTACCTGAGCTCAGCCACCACCTGGCGGAGAGCTACCTGACCTGCTGCCTCTATCTGCAGGAGATGCTGCAGTACAAACGGCGGAACCACAGCAAAGTATGCACCAACTTCAACCCATGTTGTGTTACAGGAAGTGAAATGATTTGTGTTGTAAAATGAGTTTTCTCTTTGACAGTTCTGTGTGATGATGTTCAGCGGCTGCTTTGTGCTGGCTGTGGTGGGTCACTACGTGCCGGGAATCATGATATCGTACATTATAGGTGAGTCGTTTCGTGTCTGACTGGTACGCAGGAACAAGGCTGAGTCTGGTTGTTGTCATGGTGCTGTTTGATTGTCTTGTGGTTTTTCTGCATGGTGTTTGATGAATCTGTGTAAAGCTGTCAGTTTTGGCTTTTCCAGCCCTGAGCGTACTGCTGTGGCCGCTGGTGGTGTACCATGAGCTGATCCAGAGGATGTACACGGGCCTGGAGCCCATCCTGATGAAGCTGGACTACAGCATGAAGGGCGATACGGAGCACCACAAGCACGACAAGAGGAGTGAGTCCCAGTGGTGCAGTTTCCTTGTCCTGTTCCTGCCTCCAACATCCATGAATCCTGTCTTACTGAATGTGTGTGTGTGTGTGTGCAACAGAGGTAAAGAAGGAGGTGGAAGAGGGTGACGAGCCCAGAGCGGAAACAGAAAGTGAGAGTGAGGAGGAAGACGAGGAGCTGTGCTGCTTCGCTCCAACGGTACCGACACACACCCGATGAATCCGCTCACACTGATATGTGTGTGTGTGTTGCTTTAAAATCTACAGATGCTGCAGTAGTTACGGGGAGGGGAGAGGTTCTTTCAGATCGCCGAGGTCAGCACTGATCTTGGATCTGTTAGTGGAACGAGTTTGGCCTTCCGGGATCCTCCGTCAGGTCCAACCACATTCCTTTACTGGATGTGGAATTGTGGATGAGGCAGCTGTTGGTGTTTATGTGAACCTTCAACAATGGAAGTTTTTCTTTTGGCTGGTTCTATTTAGACTTTTTTAGAAGTCAGAGAATAATTTCTTGTGTGTTCTGAGCAGATTCAGCGATGTGCTGCTAAAGCTTTGTCTGTTACTCACCCACTGATCAGATCTCACCTGATTTAAACGCCAACCATGTGTTTGTTAGTTAAGGGTTTTGACACATCAATCAGCATCATCAACATTTTGCACTCAGGCAGGTCAAGCCCAGATGTTTCAGGTAATTCTGTGGGTCACCTCCACACGCCTTTAGAGCAGGGGTGCCCAGTCCTGGTCCTGGAGCGCCGGTACTCTGCTTCAGCACACCTGATTTCAATCATCAGGTAATTAACAGGTGTCTGCAGAGCTTGATGAGCTGCTGCACAGGTCATTCCATCAATCAATCAAGTGTGTTGGAGAAGAAAAACAACAAAACCTGCTGGATACCGGCCCTCCAGGACCAGGATTGGGCAACCCTGCTTTAGAGATGTTATCACCTTTACAAGAACAACAGCCATTCCTGGACTGAGGAATGCAGGACCCACTGAACTGGAGCGCTAGCCTGGCAAGCCAGACTAAATAAATGTATTATTTAGTCAGGCCACGCTCCATTGACGGCTCTCGGTTGTGGGGCGGGTTCTACCGTTGTCTTTCAAATGATCTCCGCATTCCACTGGACGATGAATGTGACATACTCTTGTTTCACTCTGTTGCATCATCCCACCCACCAGGCACATAGAGTGCCCTGATTGGCCCACAAAGCGGATAAAGCTCTGTGATTTGTTCACTAAGCAGATAGATCACTATGATTGGCCCACCATTATGGACCATTCACAGCTCTTTATGTGTTTGAAACCCCTCTAGAGAGCTGTGATTGGCCAGCCAGAGTCCTGGTAGGAGCTGCGGAGGTTCCAGTGGAGCATGCCTAGACCAAACTTTGCAAAGCAAGAATTTGGTCTAGTTCACTAGGCTACTGGAGCGCTCCTGGTGTAATGACATTTGCACTTTCACAAGAGAGTGTGCATTTCCAATATCAGAGAATGTTTATTTGATCATAAACACAAGTGACCCAGTAAACGTTTGGGTCTGAATATTTAATAGAGATCCTAATAATAAAAGGTTTGCTGCTGCAGCTGTAATAAGTACTGTTCTATGCATTCCCTCTGTGATCAGGTGGATGTGAAGACTACAGCTCTGGCTATGGCCATCACGGACTCGGAGCTGTCCGATGAAGAGGCGTCCATATTGGAAAGTGGAGGCTTCTCTGTGTCTAGAGCCACCACCCCTCAGCTGACAGACCTTTCTGAAGGTAAAACTCCGTCTGGAAAGTCGGCTCCGCTCCGGCTCTTTTCTTTACTGTCTCGTTTCTCTTCTAGATTTGGACCAGCACAGCTTGCACAGCGAGCCGGAGGAGGCCTACCTGCGGGATCTGCCTGAGTTTCCCTCCGTTGAGCACAATCTGCCTCACTTCACCCTGCGGGGCGCGAGCCTCGGAGACGGCGTGCCAGCCGGCGCCGAGTCCGACAGGGAGCTGCTGAGTCCAGCCAGCCTCCTTTTCCAGCACCTGGCGTCGCCGCTGCACTTTGTGAACACACATTTCAACGGACACGGCCGTCCACCCGGCAGCGAGGGGGCCACGCCGCTCGCTCCAGACACACAGGAGGAAGTGTCGAGGCAGGGAGGGGTGGAGACGGAAGCTGCGGCGACCCACGGAGCTCAGCGCTCCTTGGAGGCGCTGAGCGAGGAGATCGTGAGCTCGGCCATCTCCACCGTGGTGCAGAACACTTTGTCGGCTCTGCTGCGTTCCAGCGAGGCCAGCGAGGAGCCCGCGCTGGCCGAGTTCCTCCCAACCGAGACCCCGCCAGGCGCCCTGGAGACCCCCACTCAATCCACCGTCGATCCCGACAGAGACCCAGAGGAAGGAGTCACGACGGAAAGCGGCACCGGTGAAGACCTCCCAGACGACACGCTAGTTCCAGCCGAGGAAGAAGACTTTGAGCTTTTGGACCAAAGTGAACTGGAGCAGGCAGATGAGGTGCTGGAGGTGGGCGGAGCCTCTCCAGACTCGCCACACCCACAGTCATAGCCCTCCTTCATTCATCCACGCTCTCATCTCTTTTTTTGCTTTAATTTCTACGTTAAACTTCTCTCTAAACCCAACGTTAACCTCCGAGTTTAGAGCTTTAGGTTGGTCTTGTTCCAAAGGCACCAATCGGGCGGCTTCACTCGTAACAACAGCTTTACTGCACCTTTAAAGGGGACATATGAAGTTTTCCTTCTGTTTATTAGCACATTTCAAACTAGCTCTCAAGCACAAACCTTTTATTGCCCTTTCTAATCCGTCCCCTTTAAACACTCGTTTGTGTCCTGTACAGTTTCCCATTTTTTACCCGATAGTTTCCATATTTAAAGCAGAAACGTGAATCGGCGGTAACAAATGCGTTATTATTGTTTGTGTTTGATCTGAATCTGGTCAAATTCAGCGACCCTGTAACAATAACAATGCCTCGGTTACTGGCTACATCCATCCGAGCTGGTGGGGTGCGTTGGGTCTGTAGCTGCTACGTCCTTTTCTGTAAATTATTTAATTTCGGGGACATCGGTCTATTTTAACCTGTTTCTGTTTACCCATAACGATTATAAATGCGTGTTTTAATGGCACAGATCATCTCCAGATGTAACCATTAGCCGAACGTTCCCGTCAGAGTCCAGTTTTGGCTCTGAATCTTTGTCACGATTGGATTTGGAAAATTTGTAAAAACTACACAGAAATGTACTCGTCTGTAAATAGGAAAGTATTTTGACATCCACGTGTCATTTTTATTTGATCTAAACTTGCTTACCTTGTACGTTTTGTACAGTCACCTCTAGGATGTTCGCTGAAGCATGCTGTTAAAAATCAGAATTTTAGGTCAGTTTTCAGGATTTTTTTGTTTTCTTTTTAAAATCTCTATTTTCCCACGTGTGTCTCGCCCGTGCCGGGGATGCGTGCTCCTGAGTAAACACACACAGACGGCATTAATAATCTGCATTCAGCTGTATGCAACGACCTCCGCTTCAGAGAACCACTCAGCATCCAGCTCTCAGGGGTGGCCTGTGCAAAGTGAGCATAACAGCTAAAGATGTATTCATTTCCCCACACGTCGTAGTGCTTCGTGTTTCTCCTAACGCCCGTTTCCTCTCTGTTGTTTATAGTGTCGAAACGGGGAGAAGTGTATTTTCTGCATGTAAAGGCAACTCTGTTCATGTTCTTCTCGTCAGCCGAAAAGACCAGTGAATGCTTCCGGTTTGATGGGTGTTTTCTTACTAACGATGGGAATAAACAGTCTGGTGTGTTTAGATGTGGGTGGAGACATCAGATTTAGTGTGATTGTGTTATGGTAGTCGTGTTCGATGCTTAAAAACTCACGCTAGGTTTAAACTAAGGAACTGTACAGTTATGGAGAAAAAACAAGGAGTTTATTTTTTAATTTCCAATTTTCTCCACAAATTATTCAAATAGATTTTTTTATGTCTGCTGTGGAGAAATTTTCCTACTAAACATGTCAAAAGGAAAACTGACACTTGTGAAAGTAAAAATAAAAGAACAAATTGAAACCGTTGCTATGGAGATTGTAACATCCATGTCCCAAAGAGCCTTAGTCCTTTTCCTAGAATAAAGAAGAAAAAATTGGTTAAAAATTTAGGGTTATTTACGTTAAATTTAAATTAGATGTCTATAAACCATTTTAACATTTCAGGTGTGCAACACGTTCTAAAAAGCAGAAACAAGTCAGTTCAGAGGAAACCGTCCAGAGAGTGTCCTGATTCCTGTTTTAAACGACTCATTCTTGTCCTGGAAGAGTGAGTTCAGACCAGACCGTCACTCTGTAGGCTCCTCCTTAGAGATTCTTTATTTCTCTTTTAGCATTTTAGCACAAATTAAAGAGTCCATTTAGCATTAGGGATGGGATGGACATTTTTTAACTCGCTTGACATGCATTCATACTTTATATAGACACAAAGTCCAGCTTTTTTATTGGCTGCCCATTATAGTGACGATGTTAACTGAAGTTTTCCATACATTTCCCCAGTAAAATGTGCTTTCCAACAAACCTTTATGGGATGAAACAAACCTGATGGAGTTCATTCACACAAAGCTGGAGTCTTTCTTTTATTTCATCATCAATGGCGTCGGGCAGCATGAGCCACTGGCCATCTGTGAATCTGACTGGGACGGAGAGGACAAGTCCATCTGGGAGACCGAACGTGCCTGGGACGAGACACGAGGTGGATGCATGCATCATCTGAAGAGCTTCTTGCTATTTTAGCATCACATTTGTGTTCTGACCTGAACAAAGGACACCGGCAGACAGGTTCTCTTCTGGACTGGAGAGGCCTAGCCAAGCCTTCAGGAGTCTGAGAATCCCGTGGGTGGTGGACACGGCGGTGAAGCGGCCGGTTTTTGAGGCCACAGCTGCACGGCGATGTCGCACCTGCTGCTTGAGGTCTCTTTCCAACCATTCCCTGGACAGAAGCAGTTGGCAATAAGAGCGAGCAGATCATCAACATTTACACGACCTGAACGACCCACCTGTTGCACACAGCTGGAATCTGACCAACCTGTTGGATAGAATCTGGAGGACTGACTGGGAGAAGAAAGCAGGTCCAGATATTGTGCCTCGATAGTTAAAAACCTTTGCCCTCTGCAGGTCGATGAAGAATTCACCACTGATGTTCCCCCACACAAAAACATCTGCCACATCTGCAGCAGCAGAGAGAAATTATAACACCCCCACGTTGTCGATGCTGCGGTTCAGTAAACGGAAGTGCTAACGTACCTGATGGCCTCACTTTCATCTCTTTTGCAATTATGGCTCTGGCTGCATCCTCCAGCTGTGTTGCCATGGCAACAAACTGTTGGCTGTCAATGGAGTGGGCGGTTTTGGCTAGAAGCGAACACCTCAGGCTGGCGAAGGCGTCCCCAGACACAATCACCTTCACCTGTTTGTCGGCGCATTGGTCGATGAGCTGCCCGTACGCTCTGTACCGCACTGATGCTTCTTTCACTTTTTCATCATTCTCCTCTCCATCTGTGCTTAAATCATCTAAAAGGATAATAACGTTGGCTTTGTGGAACGCCTGCTCCAGATCTCTGTGAACGGTCACCTGTGGGTTCATGTTTATTAGAAGTTTACTTTATCTTTAAGCTTTGAAGAGTTCCTGAAAGTACCCGATAGAGCAAGTTGAGTGCCAGATCCTCAGTGTTTATCCTGAGCTCTTGCATCGCCTCCTCGGTCCCGTCCAGGTCCAGTAAGTGGAGGTGAACTGCAGTGACTTTAGGAAACACCTCCACAGACAGCAAGTGAGGGATTAAGATCTGGGATGTTGGGTTGAGTGCACTGCAAAGACATCCTCTATCAACATGCATTTTAAAACATTTGTTTGCCTTAACAACACATCTAACACGTCTAACTTACCCAGTGATCCACACATGTAAATGCAGAAGACTGGTCCGACGCTCTTCTGCAATGAGGCTCATCTGGGTTTCCAAATTCACTGCTGCAATTTTTATCATGGTGTCTGTTGACATGTCTGATGTGGCCCCGTAGTAGTCCTACGAAACATCTGATTGATGACTCCTGTGTGTGTAGCTGGAAATGCTATCGGTACGTACCTGACAATGCTTCATGAAGTCACTGAAACCCCCCAGGAGCGTCCCTTTGCCCCCCCGTTCTGTCAGCTCCCTCCAGACCAAAGGAGAGTCTTCGTGCACCCAGCCATTTGTTTGGCACGTGGACTCAAGCCATTCCTATCAAAAAGCATGAAGAAGAGGGAGGCAAAAAGCAACATTAAAAGAATACATAATAGAATTATGTGTATGTAATTATGCATAATTAATATATGTTGATTTTGTCTGTGTGTTTTGATGTGAAGCAACCCTGCCAATTTGTGTTGACAGGCGCTTCATTAATAAACTTGTTGGTTTATTGATATGCTAAAAATAATAAATAAATTGATAGGAAACCATGTAAATCCAATTATAAAAATCTAAATAGCACTATTTTAGTCTATTATTTTATTTAAATTTGCGAACGTTTTAGGGATTTTTTTACTCATTTTGCATGTTGCTTATGATTCAGTATCAGTAATAAGAAATATATAGTTTGACTTTTTTTTTACTTTGATGGTAAAAATATTTATTTCTAACTCGTGTTATTTAACTTCCTCATTGATATTTTCCAATCTTATTCTACACATAATGTATAATGATTGATTGGCAGCTTCATTTGTTGTTATATTTTGTTTATAAAAGATAATTCACCTTCCATTGACCTGGCAGGATGGGGATCTTGTGGACCCTGAAGTCCGGCAGAGATCGTTGTAGTTCATCTGCCAATAGTTCCGCTTGAGCATAATAAGGACAGTCTGCTTTTCCTGTAAATTTGGTACATTTAGAATTTTAAAATGTAGATAAAATATTATTTTTACTGAAATTCTAATTGAAATTTACCAGCCAGCACAAATCTCGCCATGATCAGATGAAAGCTTTGGTTGCTAGGTAACCTGGTGCGTTAAGCGTATTAACTTCCGTGTAGCAACACTTAACAGCATAAACCTAACACTGAACCTAAACTATATCACAAAAATTAACTGATGTATGGTTTTTAGAATGTAAAAAATACAACGGTCTTATTATTTGCATTTTAGTAATTGTTTGTTTGTAGCAATCATTTATCGGCTGTGTCTCAATTCAGGGTCTGCATCCTTCGAAGGACCGTGTTGTAAGTTGATAGGGGACACATTACGGCAGCGCACGCACCATTGACCAGCGCGTGAGAAATCTAGCATAAACTACTCAAATTACATTATAGCTCATGCAGTTCCACATATCGTGCCTTAACGAATCTCTTCTTTTGTTACTAAATTGTGTTGCAATGTTTTATTTTTATGTTTTTGACTTTCGGGTGAGAAATTGCGAGGCAGCTAACTTAAGCTAGCTTGTTTCATATCCATAATTTGACCTTGTTTCTCGAAAATTACTTTTTAATTGTTAGTTGTTGTTGGGCATATTTGTTGTTTGAAAGCATTTGTAAGCTCCAGTTAACTAACATCCTCTGTTTCAACGGAAATAGCTTAATGGTGCAATTTTAGACATATGTTTAATTTGTTCGTGTTCATTAAAAAAATAGAAAACCATTATATTTACACTCCTAAAACATCTGCGAAGCTCTTCTTTATCATCATGTCTGCGCGGGTACCCAAAAACATCATCAGATGGTCCCTACGTTTTTGCTGTCAGAGGTTTCCACGGAAACAGCTCAATTTCCTTAATACGGGATATTTTTCTACTCATCCTGTTCGCCTCTGGTGCTCAAAGCAGAACCAGAAATGTCTTTCCAGTAGTCTTGCCTGTTCAGAAAGGTTCTACTCTCAGAACAGGAATCATAATGAAGGAATGGATGAGATTAACAACGTGGAGCAATCATTTCCAACTGATGAGACAACTTCAACGCAGAGACCGATAATTTCCCCATTCTGGAACCACCTGGAGCGATGTCGCTCTCCGTCAGACGTGTTGGACCTCACCTGTATGTACTCACCTACAAATCACCAGGTCAGCAACTGCCTGACCCACATGTGGTCCTCCACGAAGAAGATGTCCGATGAGCAGCGGTGCTATGAGTTGCAGCTGATGTTTGAGCACCCTGAATTTGACAAGTTACTGCAAAGGGCGATGAAATCTGTTCAGTTCATGAGAAACGATGACATCACATACGCCCTACTGAGTTTGGTCAAACTGGGTGTCCCTCAACGTAGCTATGTGGTCCAGACTTTCCTTCGAGCTTGCCAGGTAGGACGTTGGGAAATTATCCTCTGATGTAAAGACATTTCAGACTTTCATAGTAATTCATCACCATCCATCAACAGGAGAAGCTCAATGACTTTGATGAGAAGAATTTGTCCATTTTGGCCTCTTGCCTGAAACAGATGGACGGTCCGAATGTGGATGCACTGAAGGAGGGGATGAGGTATCAAACCATCAACCACTAAACGTGTAAATTGATAATAGGTCCCTAACTGAAAAGCCTTTTTTTTATTGTTGTGTTTCAGGCTTGTTGTTAAAATCAGTCTTCCTGGGATCAAAAATGTGGTGGCTCTCCAGACCATGATGCACCTTTTGGGAAAAGATTCCCCAAAGGATCTTAAACAAAAACTAGAGGTTTACATATTTTGACTTTGTTATCTTCCATCCATCCATTTTCAGCCACTTATCCAGGGTCGGGTCACGGGGGCAGTAGCCTATGCAGGGAGGCCAAGACTTCCCTCTCCCCAGCCACTTGGGCCAGCTCCTCCGGGGGAATCCTAAGGCGTTCCCTGGCCAGCTGAGAGACATATGGTGCTTTCACATTTGGGCTAGCACGAACCGGACTGGGTAGCTTTCAAAGTGTTCACATCTAGGTAGCATTGTGTTTTTCTGTGCTCAATCGGTCGGGTTTTCGGCCGTACTAAGGCGGTCTGCTTTGGGCTGAACAGGTCCAACACAACCACTGTCGACTGATTGGCCGCCTCAAATATATGTCTGTTGTTAGGAGGAGCTTCTGACTGTTGGATAGAATCAGTCAGTGGGAGCTTCTCGCATGCGTGATTCATTATCATTCTGGATACTGAGGAGAAAGGCGTCTCTGACTGAAGCTGCAGCAGCTCTCTGCCTCTCCTCACTACTGTGAGGAGCACACACACCGAGACAGCGCTGCCATACCTTGAGCCGCATGGTGGTCATTTAAGGGAGACACCACTGACTTTTTGGCGCATCCCTACTGGTGCGGGATCCGGACCGATGCCACCCAGACTGGACTGGCCCAGATGTGAAACTGCCAATTGTCCCTCCAGCGTGTCCTGAGTCTTCCTTTAGGTGTCCTCCCGATTGGACGTGGCTGAATAACCTCATCGGGGAGGCATCCTAACTAGATGCCCAAGCCACCTTAACTGGTTCCTCTCGATGTGGAGCAGCAGCGGGTCAACTCCGAGCCCCTCCCAGATGATCGAGCTTTACACCCTATCTCCAAGGGAGAGCCCAGCCACCCTGCGGAGAAAACTCATTTCGGCCGCTTGTATCCGCGATCTCGTTCTTTCGGTTACTACCCCAAGCTCATGACCATAGGTGAGGGCAGGAACGTAGATCGACCGGTAAATCGAGAGCGTCGCCTTCTGACTCAGCTCTCTCGTCACCACGACAGACCGGTACAACGCCCGCATCACTGCAGATGCAGCACCAATCCGCCAATCGATCTCATGCTCCAGTTTTCCCTCACTCGTGAACAAGACCCCGAGACGCATATGGGCCATTCCCGTCTGCACCGGGTCGGCCCGGGCCGGGTAGCCCCAGTCGGCCCCAGCCTGGCCCGGTTGATTCCACACATCCTTGCCTTAAGCCCATGTGGGCTGATTCTACCCACCAATCAGAGGCTTGCTCTAATGGAAGGTGTGAATTTGGTGTCAGCAGTGGGCGTGTTGGCCCTGGTCGGCCTGAAGCAGACCCCCTCGAGAAGAGGGCTGAGAATGAGCCTTGGTTGGCCCGGAAAAATACCAGGCCACCCAGATATGTAAACAACCTACGTTACCCGGCCCGGGCCGACCCGGTACAGATGGGAATGGCCCATTAAACTCCTCCACTTGGGGCAGGACCTCATCCCTGACCTGGAGAAGGCATTCTACCCTTTTCCGACTCAAGACCATGGTCTCAGGTTTAGAGGAGCTGATTCTCATCCCAGCTGCTTCACACTCGGCTGCGAGCCGCTCCAGTGAGAGCCGGAGATCACGTTCCCAATTAAGCCAACAGGACTTTAATTCCATTTAATAAATATTTTTTTGCATGTAAACAATTATATTAAGGCTCTGATAACAAACAAACTTGTTTCAGTCAATCACAAAAACAATGTAGTTTTTAAAAGGACCATTTTATATACATGATTTTCTTCTTGGACTTGCTTTGGGCTGATCCTGTAATAATATTCTTTATTTTTATTTATTTGTTTGTTTTCAAAAGTGTTCTTTGACCACTTTTACCTGGGTAATTAATGGTTTTAAAAGTAAAAGGTGGCAAAGCAGACAGCAGAAAATATTATTTACAATATTCAGTTTAGACCCACACCCACTCTGCAGTGATGTCCTGTGACGTTTTTCCTTAGACTTCTATTTAAACACTTAAAGAACTTTCACATTAAAATAGTACAACTCTGCCATCGCCTTGAAATGTTAACTGAATAGTATTTCCCAGCTTTAAGTCTGCTAATGATTGTCATTGAGCTGCCTTACATTGTCTTGTCTCTTTTAGAGAAAGGCCTTATCGATGAGTGATCAGTTCAGCCTTCCCAACTCTCAACACATGATCTTCACTTTGGCCGCCATGGGCTTCTACTCCAAACCACTGCTGAGTGTTTGCAGCAAAATAATCGCAGGTGAACTATTACAACATGCTAAAAGGAGGTTTAGCAAAGTTCGAGGCATTAACTCTGCGCGTGATTTTCTCCATGTCTGTGCTCTCTGACAGAAAACCTTCACAACATCCCTTTTACCAGATTATATCAGGTGCTGCTGTCCTTTAAGGAGCTGCTCTACAGAGACCCACACCTGCTCACTGAAATCTCAGAATATGTTGCTTCCACTCTTGATATTTGGACCAACAAACAGGTGAAGCAACAACCGATTTATCAAACACTAATTGTAAAAGATGATAATTGAGCAAACTTCCTTTTGTTTTTAGCTGGTTCTTTTTCTGTCTGTGTTCGAGGACCTCGTCTTTTGTCCTTCTGCCTTAATGGAGGCTTATGCTGGGAAAGTGATGGAAAACCCGAATGCGCTGACTCTAAAAGACCTCCTGTGTGTGTTAAAGGTTTACTCCTCCTTTAACTATGATCTGCAGCATCGGAGACAACAGTAAGACATCCTTTTGTGTGTATGGTGTTAAAAGTGACTTACTGAATTTGTGTGACGATGTTAGGACCAAACCTTAAGGCTTTTTAGACATTTCAAATATAAAACCTGAACGTGACTTAAAACTAGAAATAATGTGTCCTGGAAAGGTTGCAGTTGCATGTGGTTAGTGTGTTGAGGTGATATGTGTAGCATCTGTGACGTGACAAGGGTCTATCAGGACCCAACGCTAAATCTCGAGAAAGCAGGTGCTTTGAACGCTCCTAAGGTTGCTGCCAGCCTCTAAACCTAGATCACGGGCTCCAAGATGGTCAGGCTTAGGGTGAGGATGAAGGTGAGAGTCAGAGTCCTGCATTGGGACTGGGGTCTCGACTTTAAAGTTTGCTTGTAAGGTCTAAAACTGTCTCAGAGTGCTCAATATTTCCTCAAGCAAAAGGAAAAATGAAGCAGATCTCCTTTATCTGCTGAGTCTTTTCCAAAGATGCTTGAATGTGTTCTTGTGAACATCTGGGTCACCTTGTCGGTTCTGATTGGTGTCGCCGTGGTTTAAAGGTATCGTGGAGATTTATGAAGAGCATTTACACCAGGCCCCCGCAATGCAGCTCAGAAATTGAGGCCATCTCGGAAGTACCAAAAATTGCAGTTCCACCCTCATCCACTGGGGGCTGGTGTCAGAAGCGAGCAAATCCTCATTGACTCCCATGTTAAAAATACCAATTTCACAGCAGAAATAAACATGTTTACAGCCTGGTACCAAAACATGTTTTTTGTTTAAATTATCTAGTTTACACTCATGACAACTCTGAGGGGGGTGAATTTTTTTTCTCACTCTTCTGTTTAAGTGAATTAAAAGCCTAAAATTCTGTATAATTAATGAACATCAGACCTACGTGACCACAGAGCTAGCTCCGTGGAAAGGCCTCAGTAGAGCCTCGGCCTGGCTTGGAAACTGCTCCGGGATTTTGAGTCTCTGTGTGTGTGTATTCTTGTTTGGATATTATTTGTGCAATTGTTGGACAAAATGACTTGCTGTGGCATTAATTGCACTAACAGAGCGTCCACGGAGTCTCCACTTCATTTTTTTCAGTAAGTAAAATTACAGGTGCTGGCCAGTAAATTAGAATATCATCAAAAGGTTGAAAATATTTCAGTAATTCCATTCAAAACGTGAAACTTGTACATTATATTCATGCAATGCACACAGACCAATGTATTTCCGATGTTTATTACGTTTAATTTTGATATTTATAGGTGACAACCAATGAAAACATCAAATCTGGTATCTCAGAAAATTAAAATATTCTAAAGGCCAATGAAAAAATGTTTGTTTCTCTAATGTTGGCCAACTGAAAAGAATGAACATGAAAAGAATGTGCATGTATAGCACTCAATACTTAGTCGGGGCTCCTTTTGCCTCAATAACTGCAGTAATGCGGCGTGGCATGGACTCGATCAGTCTGTGGCACTGCTCAGGTGTTATGAGAGCCCAGGTTGCTCTGATAGTCGTCTTCAGCTCCTCTGCATTGTTGGGTCTAGCGTATTGCATCCTCCGCTTCACAATACCCCATAGATTTTCTATGGGGTTAAGGTCAGGCGAGTTTGCTGGCCAATCAAGGACAGGGATACCATGGTCCTTGAACCAGGTGCTGGTGGTTTTGGCACTGTGTGCAGGTGCCAGGTCCTGTTGAAAGGTGAAGTCTGCATCCCCATAAAGTTGGTCAGCAGCAGGAAGCATGAAGTGCTCTAAAACTTCCTGGTAGACGGCTGCATTGACCCTGGACCTCAGGAAACAGAGTGGGCCAACACCGGCAGATGACATGGCACCCCACACCATCACTGACGGTGGAAACTTTACACTGGACCTCATGCAACGTGGATTCTGTGCTTCTCCGCTCTTCCTCCAGACTCTGGGTCCTTGATTTCCAAAGGAAATGCAGAACTTGCTTTCATCAGAAAACATAACTTTGGACCACTCAGCATCAGTCCAGTCCTTTTTGTCCTTGGCCCAGGCGAGACGCTTCTTGCGCTGTTTCTTGTTCAAGAGTGGCTTGACACACGGAATGCGACACCTGAATCCCATGTCTTTCATGAGTCTCCTCGTGGTGGTTCTTGAAGCGCTGACTCCAGCTGCAGTCCACTCTTTGTGGATCTCCCCCACATTTTTGAATGGGTTTGTCGTCACAATTCTCTGCAGGGTGCGGTTATCCCTAGAGCTTGTACACTTTTTTCTACCACATTTTTTCCGTCCCTTCGCCTGTCTGTTAATGTGCTTGGACACAGAGCTCTGCGAACAGCCAGCTTCTTTAGCAATCACCTTTTGTGTCTTGCCCTCCTTGTGCAAGGTGTCAATGATTGTCTTTTGGACAGCTGTTAAGTCAGAAGTCTTCCCCATGATTGTGGTGCCTTCAAAACAAGACTGAGGGACCTTTTAAAGGCCTTTGCAGGTGTTTTGAGTAAATCAGCTGATTAGAGTGGCAGCAGGTGTCTTCTATATTCAGCCTTTTCAGAATATTCTAATTTTTTGAGATACCAAATTTGGAGTTTTCATTAGTTGTCACTTATGAATATCAAATTTAAATGTAATGAACATTGGAAATACATTGGTCTGTGTGCATTGCATGAATATAATGTACAAGTTTCACGTTTTGAATGGAATTACTGAAATATTTTCAACCTTTTGATGATATTCTAATTTACTGGCCAGCACCTGTATATTTATGTATTTTAGGTCACTGCTGAGCTGAGCTTAGATTTTAACATGTACTGTTTAACCATGAAATTTAAATGTAATAGGGTAAAACCCAGTGCATTTAACATAACTGAAAACTGAGGAGACTGATAAAGAATGGGAAGGACACCTACAGGCAGAGGATGGAGAATCAGCTTCAGCAAAGCAATGTGGGTGAAGTCTAGAGAGGCCTTAGAACCATCTCGGGTCATAAACATCAGAACTCTCTGCCTGTGAGGGATGTGAGGTGGGCTAATGAACTGAATCAATTCTTTAATAGATTTGACTCGGCTACGAGGCAGACCTCAACGTCGGCTGCTGACTCTCCCACCCTCTCTACCACTGTTTCACCTCTGACCTCTCACCCCTCCTCACCTTCAGTAACAGTATCTAGTACACACTTTATGCAAGGTCCCGGCTGGTCCCTCTCTACCACACAGGTGAGGGGGGAAATGAGGAGGATAAATGGCAGGAAGGCAGCGGGTCCAGATGGTATCAGCGCATGGGTGGTCAGGTCCTGCGCGGACCAACTGTGTGAGGTAATCGGGCACCTTTTCAGCCTGAGCCTGAGGCTGGGAAGAGTCCCAAAGCTCTGGAAAACATCTTGTGTAGTTCCGGTGCCAAAGACTTCACGCCCCAAGGATTTTAACAGCTACAGGCCGGTGGCTCTAACATCCCATCTGATGAAGACTCTGGAGCAGTTGGTTCTGGTTCAGCTTCGGCGCCTAGTGGGCTCTTCACTGGACCCGCTTCAGTTTGCCTATCAAACTGACATTGGTGCTGATGATGCGGTCATCCACCTCCTGCATCGCTCGCTCGCTCACCTGGAGACTGTTGGGAATACTGTGAGGATCATGTTTTTTGACTTCTCCAGTGCCTTCAATACCATTCTTCCCTCGGTTCTGAAGGACAAACTGGTGAACACTGGAGTGGATCATCACTTCACTACCTGGATTCTGGACTACCTTTCTGACCGACCACAGTTTGTGAGGACTCAGGGCTGTGTGTCGGATAGTGTCGTCTGCAGCACGGCACCTTCGGGTACTAATAAAGTTACCTTACCTTACCTTACCTTACCTTACCTTACCTTACCTTACCTTACGGGGGCCCCCCCAGGGAACGGTTCTGCCTGCGTTCCTTTTTACCATCTATACTGCGGACTTCTCCTATAACTCTACTCAGTGCTTCTTGCAGAAGTTCTCTGATGACTCTGCGATTGTAGGTCTCATCAAGGATGGGGATGACAAGGAGTACAGGAAACTGACTCAGGATTTTGTGGACTGGTGCCAGTTGAACTATCTACAGATTAATGCCAGCAAAACTAAGGAGCTGGTGGTAGACTTTCGTAGGCATAAGCATTCCTCGCTTCAACCATTGAGCATACAGGGCATGGACATTGAGACTGTGGACAGTTACAGGTACCTTGGGGTCCATCTGAACAATAAACTGGACTGGACTCATAATTCAGATGCCCTGTACAGAAAAGGGCAGAGTAGGCTGTACCTACTACGGAGACTGAGGTCATTTGGAGTTGTGGGCCCTCTCCTGAAGACCTTTTATGACTCTGTGGTGGCCTCGGCCATCTTTTATGGTGTGGTCTGCTGGGGCAGCAGCATCTCTGCGGGAGATAGGAAGAGGCTGAACAGACCTACAGGGCTACTTCTGTTCTAGGATGCCCCCTGGACCCTGTGGAGGTGGTAAGTGACAGAAGAATGACAGCTAAACTGTCATCCATGTTGGATAATATCTCCCATCCCATGCAGGTGACTTTGACAGCTATGAGCAGCTCCTTTAGTGGGAGACTGCGGCACCCAAGGTGTGGGACAGAGAGATTCCGGAGGTCTTTCCTCCCCACTGCTGTCAGACTCTACAACAAATCTGTTGGATGAAGTGTACTCTGTATTTCTAAGCTGTATATAGTATGGTTATTATTTTTTAACCCATTCTTAAGGTCTAAATTGTCTATTGTATTGAGTTTATTTTATCTCATTACGATCAAACTTATTGTATTTTAGTGTTTTCTCCCTCTGCTGCATAACTTTAACTTTAACTTTTACTTGGCTGTAAACGAAACAAATTTCCCACTTGTGGGACTAATAAAGGTTATCTTATCTTATCTTATCTTATAATGTTGCACTTTAGAAAATGGGTTGAAATATAACATGTTGGTGGAGCTGGGTTCCGACTGTCGGCTTGTGGAGCTCTTGGGAGACCTGTTTTCCACCCGTTTCTCCCCTCCCCGCAGCCCGGCGCTTGTCTGCTGTGCGGCTGTCGGCTTGTGGAGGTCTCGGAGACCTCTGTGTTCCACCCGGTTTTACCCAGCTGTCAGCCCGGCCGTGTGTCTCTGACTCAGAAGCTCTGGTGTTGTGCACAGTTAACTCCGGTTGTACCTAGGTTGCTACCTCCGTTAGCTTAGCTCCCACTTCCACATTAGCTTTGGGTTAGCTTCAGGTTAGCTTGTAGCTAGTTGACCGGGTGTGTCAGTTGATCCCAGCCTTACAGCCCCACCCTCAGCTCCACCTCTCTTCCCTTTTATGGAATTGTCTGGGCTTGACGGAACCTGTGACACAGTCAAAATGGCGGTGGTGGCCACCTCCCATTTTGCCTCAAAAACATGATATTGGAGCCTATGGAAATGAATTGTCCAGTATATTTATGTCGATGAACAACACACACACTTTGTGTCAACAGAGATCGTTACTGTAGCTGAGCCGTGGACACAAAGGGACACTTAAACAATGTCAGGAATGTGAGAAATGGGTTTGTTGCAGTCAGATTGCTGCTTTTCCAACACATTCCTGTTTCATCACAAGGCTTTGACTTTTGCCTCCTAACTGTTAAAGCCTCATGATCTGTGACGTTTTCTTTCTACTTCAGCTTCCTCGATAGCCTGAGTGATGCTCTTGGCTCCTATCTGCCCAACATGCCTGGGATGCAGTTATTAAAGGCCGTCTACTGTCTCTGTCTGCTGAATCACTTCCCCTCTGTCCTTCTGGAGCATCTCCTGGACAGTCATGTCCTGGAGCAGCTTGAAAGTGAGTCTAAATATACGTTTGGAGCCTAGCTTTGTTTTGTGTTTGACTTTCAACCCCTTTTTTTCTGATTTTATTTCCTTCTCAGCAGCAAAATTTCCCAAGGGCCGTGATCGAATGCTCCAGATGGTGGACCTGTGCCTTCGTCTGGACTGTCCTCCTCTTCCTCAGCCTTTGACTGTCCCCAGCTCTGTCTTGGGAAATCCCAGTCCCAACAGACCTCTGGTTAACCCGCGGCTCTCTCGGAGTTTGCAGCGCCTGCTGGCGGGTCAGACGGATACGGAGTTCCAGGAAACGGTGGTGGTGGAGAACTTCTATTTCGTAGGTAAAAAATCAATCGATCAATACTTTATTAATCCCAGAGAGAAATTAGAGTTTCAGTACACACAATTCAGAGATCAGACATACATGGGCAAGACACATGACAGGAATTGGTGACTGTTTGCAACCCTGAGTCGCGCTACCTTAATGGAGATAAGAGGGTAACATGAGGATTGGTTCAGGTGGAGGGAAAAAAGGCACTTCAGAGTTACCCTCCAGCAGGAGGGCAACTTTGCTCTGCAGCAAAACACCTCAACAAATATGCAACAGACTTCAGACAACATAACATGAGACTCCAATAGGAAGGCAGGGGGGGCTGGGATCCTGTTTCCCCCAGCGAGAGCAGCCATCTACGGCGCTCATCTGCTGGACAGTCACAGGTGGGAGGGAGGTCTTGGGAGAAGTGAAGAGCACATTGACTCCTGCAGATTGATGACCTCATCAGGCTGAAGTCCACCAATCCGAAGGCGGGGATAGGTCGGGTTTTCACAGCATCTGTCTGCATTCCTTCGTGGGGGGTTGTTGCTTGCCGCTCAAGGCTACCAGGGCGTCAGATTCAGATAACAAGAATTTGTAAAGACCAGAAAGAGATGAAAGGTTTGAGAGGATCTGTGGTTCCAGTAAAGCATTTACTCATGCTTCTAGATGGTGTTATTACCAAACCACTGCCAAACCAGTCCTGTGAGACGGAGACAAGTAGCTGTGCAGAGGAGCAGAGCTCTCCAGCAGGAAGCAATCAAAGGTAAGATGTTGTCTGTGTTTGTGGAAGCCCTACGAGGTGAAGAGGATGCTCCTCTCTGACGTTTGTTCCCGTTTCTCACATCAGATGTGTTCTTCTACAGCTGGTTCCACAGAAAAGGGCTTTTATGGCAGCAGCTCTAATAAGAGCATCATGGGTTAAAGAAAGGTCATTAGAGACAAAATACAGGAGCAACAAAAGCTTATTTCATGAAATGATGTCATTGAAGGTCAAATAGTTTTTAATAAAATTACATCACAATAAGTCTGAACAAAGAAACGATTTAATAAGCATTTTCCTATTATCTTTTCAACAAATTAGCTTTTTACCATCATATACAGATTTAAACTGATGTGCATTGTTAAAAATGAGTTGTTTGTTTATTCTGTGGTGGGAGCTGCTCAGGTGCCCGGTAGTAGAAAATAACACGATCAACGTTTAAAAAATCTAAACAAAACCTGCACATTTTTACGTTTTTTCACAATAATTAAATTTTTTCTTTTCTTTTCTCTCTGAATTTTCTCCAGTAAAGATGGGAAAAGGGGGTCATTCATTCCCCTATGACTTTTATAATGATCAGGCTATTCTTAGTTTTGTTAGTTATTCTTCTCCCAGGTATTTATTTTAATGTAACAAAGTATTTAATCAAATGTTCATTTTATTATTTAAAAAAAAAAGATAGAAATCATAAAAAAAAACTTGAAGATTTAAGTATTTATTGGAAAATTATAATTTTTTAAGAATCCTTTCTTTTAAAAATGATTTTTAATCATTTTCAGACTGAAACCTTAAATCTATCTTCGTTTTTTTTTATCTGTACTTTGGTTTCATCTCACATGTTGGCTCGTATCTTTTTATCTCTCAGCTTCTAACAACACTTCCTCAGGTTTTCCTTTAATATTGTTAAATCGACGTCTTGCTTTTGAAAGTAAACCTCAACAATTAAGCAGATCCGTGTAAAACAGCAATTCGGTCTATTTATTTACATTTGCATCGTTGTTTTTTACATTTTACAGCACATCGTGTCTTTATGCATGACAGACTGGTGTAAGATGGCTCATTTTAAATCCTAACACTGAAAGAAAAATACAAAATGGTAAATTTTGACTAAACAGGAGCAACCATATTTTTCTCAGTGTCAGCATAGGATTTCATACATTTCTATTACAACAAGAAGCAAAATAGTCAAAGTTTTCTAACTCTAACAATCAAACAAGACGAAGTAAGTTGGGTGTGTCTGAGCTCTTTGTGATTTCCATGACGACAATTAAGCCTCAGCATGTTTTTGAAACCGTGCTCTGGTTTAGTCACGTTGAACCGTTTCCAAAGCTGACTGAAGGCTTTTTTGATTTCCTAGAATCGCCGTTATTTACGCACCAAACTCTAGTTTTTGCTACGACACATCTCATCCTCGTGGTCACCTTGCTGTCCAGATACGTCACCTGCAGATCCTGGGATACTCCCCCGTTCTGGTAATGGTTTACCTTTCTTTTGTTTTCTTGGGATTAAGACTTGGAGAATAAAGGTTTTAGTTTTGCAACTCTTTTATCCTCCTGATTATAGGAAGATGTATAAAATAGGGTCCATCTCACTGGTGGCAGGACTAACATCCATGACTTTTGTTTATTTAGGTGACAGAACAAGATCTACAGTTGGTGTCTGATGGAGAGTTGCTGGACGTTCTCAGACGAAGGATTTTTCCCGAACACGCATCAGAAACATGCATGAAAACTGAAGATTTGGGCTCTTAAAGCTGTAAACGGCTCAAATGTAATGTATTCAACAATAAATGATTTAAACAGTAAGTCATCTGGTTGAGTTTTGCTCCAAACCTTTCCAGTGAACGTAAAGAATCCATGACAGATTCGCTTTATGAGCTATTTATCATTCAGTAACGTTAGGACAGGACCAGCTTTTCAGTTTTTCTCAGTTCAAGGCATCAAACTGACATGAAAAAGTAAAAATGGGGAAATCATCTGCCAGCTCTCAATCCAGTATGAAGGCTTTAACAAAAACTGCATCTTAGTTCTTGTGGTGGTGCTGAGTAGCACCATGCTACTAAACGAAACCAATAAAACCTACGTGAATGCTTTGCAGCGCCTGCACAGAAACTGCAAGGTGAGCACAGAAAACGTAGAGTGCCTTTGAAGACGTGCAGAAGAAGGAAAAACACATAGAGACAGGAAATGGTGCAGCTTGGTATTTTTCAGCATTTGCAGCTTCTTGTGCTCAGCCTTCAATTTCTCAGAATTAAGAGCGACAAATGTGCGACAAGAAGTGTTTATCTTCATGTTTCGTCGACTGGCTTGAAGCCGTGGGCACTAATGATCCACAAAGGTGCTGCACTGATTTACAACCTGAAAGCACCTTTAAATGTGGTTGAGTCCCCTCGTTAAGATACCGCCTTCTGTTTCGACCACAAAGACAGGGGTTCCCAACAACGTGTTTGTGAGATCACAACAAGAGAGTGAAACAGGAAGTGAGGGGGAAAAAAGCCTTTTCTCCCCACTCTCTATGTAATTGTTCTAAACATCCACTCGAAGAAAGTGGCGAAGTTGCTGTGGAGGAAAAAAGGTTCTGCAGAAACAAATGAAATCAAACATTTTGTGAATGCCCAATGTAGAAATGACGACTCATGAGGGATCAGACGTATCTTGGTATGGGAGTCTGAACCCCTTTTTTCTTCCTGATGTTCCGGGTTGCTCTGGTGTTCATGTAGTCATTCTGGTACTCTGCTCCGCTCAGCTTGAACTGCAGAGACATGTAAAATGCAATGATGTTAAAATAACTTACCGTTTACAAAACTAAATGTTTTATTCAATAATGAAGACGTTTGATAAAGTAGGGATGTAAGAAAACATTGATACTCTGGAATATCCTCACAAATCCCTCCATAAACTCCAACTTCTCCAGAACTCGGCAGCCCGCATCATTTCCAGAACTCCATCCTTCCACCACATCACCCCTGTTCTTCAGCAGCTCCACTGGCTCCCAGTCACTTCCAGAATCCAATTCAAAATTCTGCTATATACATTCAAAGCCATCCATAACCTAGCTCCACCGTACCTCTCAGACCTCCTTCATCCTTCAACCTCCACCCGTTCCCTCAGGTCCTCCTCCTCCATCCACCTCTCAGTCCCACCTTTCTGTCTGGTCACTATGGGGAGCAGGGCCTTCAGCCGCTCTGCTCCCCAGCTCTGGAACTCACTTCCTCCTGACCTCCGTAACATTGATTCCCTCACTCTCTTTAAAACCAGACTCAAAACTCACCTGTTCCGTCTAGCATTCCAATAATTACTCTCGTTGCTCCAATCTGTCTGTTTGTTTTATGCTGTTTTATCTTTTATTGTTGTGTATTTTATCTCTGTAAAGTGTCCTTGAGTGTTCAGAAAGGCGCTGTTGAAATAAAATGTATTATTATTATTATTAATATTACAATATTTGGAGTTATGATACTGAATGGTTATTTGCAGGGATGTCCCGATACAACTTTTTCACTTCCGATACGATACCGATATTGCAGCCTTCAGTATTGACCGATACCAATGTCAATCTGATAAGATGTCAGCACAAATCATACATACTTGAACCTATTTTGTAGTGTGGAATGTATGAAAGGCTTGATCATGTGATTTTACTCAACGGAGAACAAGAGCCAATAACAGTAAGTATAAAAAAAATTACTATGTTTTTTCCTTAACCATTGGTTGCAAAAATGTGAACCGTATATCGGAGATTTTTGATGCCGTCCGATATAATACAATACACTGGTTTTGGGCCGATTTCAGATTACTTACGATATCGATATTAGAACGAGTCATCCCTAGTTATTTGAAAACAATGCGTCAATATTTTATTGAGAACTTACATTTACTTTTCCTCTGTGTGGTGCTATTCAAACTCCGACCGCTAGGTGGCAGCAGCTTTTATTACCTTCATTCTGACGGAACCAAATGCGTCTGGCCTGAGTTTTCTAAATAAATTTAGTCTTAAAATTTGCAAGTATTGTCTGACGGTTTAGTATTGCGATGTATCGTATCAACTCCCCTGCCTGTATTGCGTGCGCTATTTATTGTATCGTCTTGCCAATACACACCCTTACAAAATTAGCGAGGTTGGAAATTGATTTTGCAGCTGCAAGATTTCAAGTCATAGTTGTGTTGGGGAGTTTACACTTGAAGGGACACTTTTTGTTTCATATGAATATCTTACCCAGATGACCAAGGCAAAAATGGTAACTGCTATGCTGTAAGTGCACAGAAGTGACACCACTGTTATCCAGACCCATGGTAATCTATGGCCGTCTTCTGTTGATTGTTTCGCTGAGGAGCAGTGATCTTCTGAAAGAAACAAGCCGAAGATGGAGTTGTACGCTGTGCATACATGTGTAAACGTCTTAAACATTCACCTGTTTTTCTTGTACCTTGTACTTTGTCTTTTTCCAAGACCAAGACTCGTTCAGCACTGTTCATTAACTTATAAGGAGGAGGGTATTCGATTCCAACCTGACATCTGTAGATTGCCTGACTGGTTCTTGGCAATGCCATTATCTTAAGACCGTCAGTTTGATTGAACTCATTTTTGTGTGGCTGGATATTCAGCTGAGTTTGGTTGCACTGTTGTTTGGAACTGATGTCCGTTTTGCACTTCCAAATACTTTCTTGGTCTTTGAAGAGTTCCATGATCACCTCCTGAGCGTTCGCAGGTAAGGCTGGGCACGGCACAAACACGGGGGGATGGCTTCGTGCGGACAGGACGAGAACTTCCACCCGTGGCTCTTTGAAGGGAAATTAAATGTGTGGTTCAGATTTTGGTGAAACAAACAGCTCTTCTAAGGAAACACCTCAAAACAAGTGCAGCTCATATTTTACACTACATTACATTTCTATATCTGAAATTCTGAAATGAAACTTATCATTTCAGAGTAGCTCTACTCCCACAGTGGAATTTTCTTGATATTGGCCCTATCTCTGCATGTTTCCTTTCAGATTAGTGCGAAAAATATAGACGTTACCATCCGAATGGCACTCTTGAGTCATCCACTGAGTTGTGGTAATTTACGTTTAGCTCTTTAAAGCTGCCATCTTTTGTGACTTTATACATTTTTTAAATCAAACTTGTTCTCAGCACCAGCATGCGTGCATTGAAAGTTAATCAAACTTTCTAGTTAGTTACTGTAAATGTATCCTGAAACTGCTGCTGTATTTTAACAAAGTACTTTTTATTGCTCTTGTTGGGAAATTAAACTAAACTAATGAGACTCAGTCTAACACAAAAGTAGCTTTTTCCTGATCAGTTACGTTAACCTTATAGGTGTGATCTGAGATGAATAAATAAGCATTCCCATAAAATGCACTGATGTAATTTTACTCACCGTCACATCCTTTGGTGCTCTGCTGCAGAAGAACCTGGGACGGCACATAACTCAGCAGGATAATGGTCCTCCAGCAGACTCCCAACATCATCGTGTCTTTTTTGATCGGACACTTTTCCCTAAGCAACGATATTCTTCTCCAGATCACCCGAACCCGCTGCCTCACGAAGCTGCACTCTGCAGAAGAATCGGATCTCACCAATCTGCTTCTACGCACGTGTTCTCACATTAATGCATCATGCTCTGGCTCTGACTGGCGCTCACCCACGATATTTCTCTTGAGGAGAAAACATCCTGTGACTGAGAACTCCTCCTTCCTCTAAAGTTTCCGCTCTCCACCAGATCTTGCGACCTGCTGTGACCCAAGTTGTTATTTTTGTATTTACATGTGCAAGAAAAGTCACTGCAGAAAATTCTCGCGTGGAAAGGTAACGCATCTCACTTTGCTTTGCAGCTTTGTGATTTATTGTGTCAGCCGTTCCACTGATGAAGTGAAAATAACATCTTAAAACGTCTGTAAACTACTTATTACATGCAAAGATTAAGGTTCGATTTGTTATTTTAAATTTGGAATGCTAATGAGTTCAATAAATATTTGTGGATAAAATACACTTAAATACTCAAAAGTTTTTGTTTATTTCAGTAGACCCTCCTTCAAATAAAACATGATTAATCAAACTCCTTTTTTTTCATCATCAGGTCTAGAAATGTATTTGACTGCAGTCTCAGATGAACGTCAATACTAGCGTAATAAATTACATTTTTTGTATTTAATAAAAAAATAAGACAAATTCCTTAAAGAAATAATCCATATTAAGTGGGAATTATTGATGTTTAGCTCTTCGAACAACCTCAATTTTGAGAAATAGGGATAAGTGGAGGACCGCTGTGTACTGATTTTAAAAAAACAGTTTGTGTGAAGATTGGCTTTGGCATTACGTGGGTATTGACGTAGAACTCTTGTTATTTGCGGTTATCTTCTTAGCTAGCCAGATTTAATCTCGGTTTCTCCAAACAAAGGATGTTCAAAGAGCCATCTACAACAGAAAAGGAATTATTATTCATAATCGAAACCCACATCAAAAGATGTGAGCTTCATCAAGCAGTTGGTGGAAAGTTAAATTTACTCTTAATTTTTCTATTTCTTCAAGTCCATATCCATAAAATGATGTCAGTTTGTTATGGCTCAGCATTCAGACTGCAGCATAATCTTAATCCAGTTTTAATCTCGACTCGGCTGCTTTTTGTTTTCAGTCATTCTTTTATATATAGCTTTGTTGGGATGATTGTCCACCAGTAAACACAGATTTAGCTTCATATTTGATTCTAGAATTATTTTGTAAATAGAGGAGTTAACAAACATGAACTTCAGCTCTGTGCCTGGAAAACAAGCCCAAATCATCAGATCTTCATGTGCGTGTTGAGGATGTTTGCGGTTTGGACTCAAACCCCTCTAACCTAAGTTTTGTGGCTTGCAGGACTTTGTGTAGTTTACATGGCTAAAGGGCAACGACACCGTCCTTGAACTGTGTGGAGTGTTTACTGAACACACTAGTTTGGCAGAAAGTCACTGACAGACCTTTGTGTGACTGGCAATGGCAGGAAATGCTGACAGGCAAGAAAAAAATGGTACATTTATAAGAAACAAGTAAAATGCAGAGTAAGCAATATGAGTCACAAGAACAAACAGAACGCTTCAATCCAGATGTGCGTCTCATCTGTAAAATGACTCAATCTCGAGTGTGGTTTAATCTCTGTTTGTGCATCTGTGTCCACTAGATGGCATCAAAACACTATTTCCATTAAGTCCACTAATTGGATCAACATTTCATTTTCATGCTTTCGTTCTTTTTTAAACACAGAAACAGTTTTGTTTACCTGTTTGTAGCTACAGTTGAAGAAGCCGGCAGCCGTCGGCGAAACTGTAGCTACAAACAGGTAAACAAAACTGTTTCTGTGTTTAAAAAAGAACGAAAGCATGGATTTAGAAAGACACAGCAAGAACACACCTAAAACATTTCATTTTGTTTATGTTATTAGCATTGAGCATATTTAAGAGGCATTAAGAAAATAATTGTATTTGCTAAAATTGAAAATTTTAAAGGTAAAAGCATTTTAGAAGGCCAAAGGTCAGGAAATATGAGTTAGTGTTGTCATGTGTTCACAAAACTAGGAATGTCCCATATTATTTGCAGATATTGGCTTTAACAAGTAAAATCAGAAAATATTGTATTGGTTATTACCACTTTTAATAACAATGTATTACATGCTATGTACACATTATACTTAAAACTCTTTAACTACTTTTCTTCTCACTTACAGTATCAAAATATGACACATACAAGGTATAGTTTTAGATATTTTTTGGTTGCATAGCACAGCTGGCCTAACTTGTATGGAGCTAACTGTCATATTTTACACAGATAATTCCTAAAGTTTGAGTTATATTATTATAAGAGATATGTAATGTTAGTACACAATTTTTTTAAGTTTTCTCTTTTTTATGAGGGAGACACCCTGCATGCATGCAGAAATTAGGAGGTAATTATTTCAGATATTGAACATCCGTACTACTACTACTACTGATAATAATAATAATAATAAATACTAGTAAATTTGTTTTTGAGCACTGAATTTAACCAATTGTTAAATCTTAATTTTGTGTAATCCACAGTATTAAAATTAAATAGTTATTTAAACAAATAAATACATGGACCAAGTATTAAGTATACAAAACAGGTAGCTAAAGAAAAGGTCTGTTGAGAACAATGAGCATTTATTAAGCAGATATTTTTCAGAGACAAATCTATGTTTAAATAAGATTCTCCAGCAGTAATGCGCCGTCTGTGGATGTGCCTAAATGAGCTCTACTACAGAGGCATATCGGCCAATGGTAAATACTGGCCCGACATATCGGTTGGCTGATATACTGGTGCCGAGTTAAAAACTCATATCTTTGTTGATTTCGAGATAGCACAGGATACCAAGAGAGGAGTTCTGGAGTGGCAGAGAAGTATGTTAGAGAGGTGCAGAACATGTATGAGAGCCATGAGACAGCAGTGAGGTGTGCTGCAGAAGTGACAGGAGTTCAACGTGGAGGTGGGAGGACATCAAGGATCAGCTCTAGGGCCTTACTTGTTTGCTTTGGTGATGTACAGGCTGACAGAGGATGTTAGGAAGGAGCCTCCTTGGCTGTCCAGATGACATCTGCAGTGAGAGCATGGTGCATGTAGAGGAGAAGCTAGAGAGGTGGAGGTACAAGAAAAGAGAGCAATTACGATTAGTTTTAGCAATACATAATCCATGTGTGTAAATGAGAGGGGCAAGTGTAACAGGGATGTTAAAAGGGTAAATCAAGTAGAGGACATTAAGTACTTAGGGTCTATGGTCCAAAGCGAGAAAGGGGGAAGAAAAGAGGTGAAGAAGTGTGTGAAGCAGGTTGGACTGGGTGGAGAAATGCTTCAGGTGTAGGTGTGCAAAAAAGGGGTACAGTAAGAAAAGAGACCAGCCATGTCTGGTTTAGAGACTGTCCATGACGAGGACAGGAAGGTAGTGAAGTTAGAGGACTAAAGGAAGACAGGTGATTTGCTGTAGCGACTCGTGAAGGGAAAAGAGAAAGAATATAATAATTGTATATTTATTAGATAAATGTATTTGTTTTAATCTTAACCATTTCTTTTAAATGGTTTCTAATTTACCAAATCAGTTTAGTTTTAAACAATCTGAATCAGATTATCTAAACGAATCGTCTTTTTTAGTTTAAATGGATTGTTTTGGACGATATTTCCCCGTGTTTTCGCCTGGTCACTCGTCTTTAGCTGAATGAGTGTTTTTTCCCACCGCCCGTGAAGGCACCGTCCTGGGCTGGACAGGAAACAACGGAGACGCGCAGCGTGTCTCCTCAGCAAGCAGCTGCGGGAGGAGAAGAATGGGAATGGGAACACATTTGTGGATTGCGGGCGAGGCAGCGTTTGAAACCATGAGGACCGCGGCTACATTCACCCAGATTCTTATTTAAAATCAGGAGTTTTCCCCTTTTCCCCTGCTGCTGGTGGCTGGAGGAATCACTCCTGCTGGAAATCACAGAGAAGAGGGACCCTCATTGTGAATCCCATTTCATTGTAAGTGGATTTTAAAAATAGATATGTATTCTTTTTATTATTTGTTATGACACCTTTAAACTTTTTACCACTTATTGGCTTCTCGTTTTGACTTAAGTAAGTAGAGGTGAAACACCGCTTATGAGATAACAGTCGCAGTCCTTTTTCCATGTATGTTGCTAGCAGCCCATCCCAGACTGACCTCGGGTGATTAGATCCAAAGAAGTAGCTCTGAGACTTTTTCATACTAAGCCTCTGGCTACATAAACACAAACACCTTATTGTTTATGTTTTTTTGGACTGCAGCTTGTTTGAATGGGTGTTTGCTTGTGAGCCTCCTATGCAGCCATTGAACGATCCCTTTCTTAGGGAAACGCTGGGCTTCATCGTTTGGGCTCGGCTGGGAAAAGAGCCGCAGCTCTCCTGGGATGGACACACTCAGCATGAACCTATTGTTGGAGAAAATGTGTTAGGACCGAAGCCCCCGAAGTAGTATGGGAGTATTTTCGGGGTATTTTTGTCTCGTCTCCATCCAACTGAAGAGTCTCCACCCTGTCAGCGGGAGGAGGCTAAGCGCTTCTGGTAATGGCCGAAACAACGGTCGAGCTAATGTTTGTATTTGTAGCCGCTGGACCTCTGAAATATACCATATTGTGTTCCTAACATCGTGTGATTATGGGTGGTCGCGTGCGTTGGCGTTGTTTGGGTCCGGCTGCTGATGAGGTAGCCCTCCTCTGCGGCTCAGGAGCACCGTTTCACTCCCTTTGTTGGGTCACGCCGGCGGCAGCAGGTTGGATGACATGCAGCCAGTTTGGCCGGTGGTTTTGTTCATTTTAATGCTCGAAACAAGTCTCGTTGCTTCGCAGCCATGGTGCGAAAGTTGGAAGTCAGACACACGTGTGTTCAGACTTCTTATCTTAACCACGGAACAGCCTCAGCTTAAAGAAATGGCAATTTCCTGCAGGGCCCATGAGCTAACAGCTAGCCTGAACACTGCCAGGACCAAAGTTGTCTTTTTTAAAAACAGTTCCAGCCTACTTAAAGCAGCTTTCCAGAGTTTTCCCCTTTCAGAAATTATGTATGATTTGTCAGAAATCCATAAAAGTAATTATCTTATCATGTACTGTGATATAATGTAAGCAATACGTCTTTTTTACCTGCAATCCTTCTGGCTCTCATTCCACTTTTGATGGTTTAAACCCTAAGCAGTGTGTAATAAGCCTCGGGGTAAAAATGGATGCCAACCTCTGAATGACTCCTCAGATCAACTCAGTGGTGAGGTCTTGTTTTTATCAGTTACGCCACCTATCTTGTTTAAGACCGATAGTAAAGAGGAAGCACTTGGAATCAGTCATCCACGCTTTCGTCACCTCTCGCTTAGACTACGCTAATGCATTATTAGTTGAAGCTCCTGTCTCTGCTCTGAACCGGTTGCAGGTTGTCCAAAATGCCGCTGCTTGGTTTTTAACAAACACAAGCCGACATAGCCATATTACACCAGTCCTGAAACATCTTCACTGGCTCCCCGTCACATTTCGTGTGCGTTTTAAGATATTGATGTTTGCTTTTAAAGCCCTGCATGACCTAGCTCCTCCTTATCTGTCTGACCCGCTGACTCCCTATGTACCTACTCGTATGTTGAGGTCAGCTGACCGTCTACTGCTTTGCATTCCCCGGATGGCCTACAAATCACGAGGTGAACGTGCATTTGTCCATGCTGCCCCC